AGGGTGTGTTCTAAAAATGAACTTCAAGGTTGCTGTGCATTTTGCATGCATCCCTTCAATGACTGGGGAGAGAAGAGGTTTAAACATTGCTCTGGGGTGTAATTTGCACAGTGCACAGAGCCTGAGACACAGGCTTCCACGGCAGTTTTGACTTTAGCTCTACTCCCCCTCTGGTAGAGCATGCTTCAGAAAGCAGAAACAAAGAAGCCTTGTGATCACTTGCTTTTGCTCTCAGGCACTAGGTGGAAGGGAAAGTTTCTCACCAATTTGATCTCTAAGGGGAACTTGAATATAACTAAACTATGGATTTCACTGAGTGAATTTTATGGAGCTCTTCAGTAAATGGGTCTGAAGATGGCAGTTTGCTACAAGGGGTCATGGTTATGGAGCTACCAGACAGTAATATGAGCATCACTTGGTTTTTGTGGACAGACTCCCAACTGTGCAGTCCAGGCTGGCCTTGAACTTGAGATCATCCTTTCTCAGCGTCTCGAATGCTGGGATTATAGAAACACACCACCATGCCTGGCTATCACTCTAGAAATGTTTCAAGAGTGATTAAGGGATGGAGGTGTAGTTCAAGGGGCAAAGCACTTGCCCAGCATGCTTGAAGCCCTGGGTTCAACTCCCAGTATAGCAAAAAGAAAAATAAAAGGTGATTAAGAATTTACTCTTTTTTGGGGGGATGAGGTACTGTGGTTTGAACTCATGGCCTTGAGCTTGCTAGGCAGGCACTCTACCACTTGGGATTTAACACCCGTAACCCTTTGCTTACATTATTTCTTAGGGAGAGTCCATCCTCTCGCCCAGGCTGGCCTCAGACCACAATTCTGCACAGCTGCACAGCCGGGGTACAGACGTGCACCACCACGCCCAGCTTATTAAGATGAGTTCTGGCAAACTTTTTTTTTTCTTTTAGCCTGGGATGGCCTCAAACTTTAATCCACCCAATTCTCCTCTCTCAACTAGCTGGGATTACAGACGTGAGTCACTACATGTGGCCAAGAGTTTATTTTTAAGTAAAAGCTATCTGACCATATTGGGACAATAAAATACAGTATGAGTCTGCACTGTCAATAGTTTTTCTTAGCAGTTGTTCATAATTGTTCAGCTGGAGGAATTAGCCCTGCAGGTTGAATCCACATGGCATGAAAAAACAAAGCAGACAAGATAAAGTGTACATTCTTATTTGGCATCATTCACTCGACAACCTCTAGCCACTAACAGCACACATAACTTTCTTGAAAACTAGCCTGTACTATTTATTTACTCTCCCATTACATGACACAACGCTAAGTGATTGTGAAGGTCTCTGGGTGCCTTTTCTGGGTTGTGAGGTCAACAGGGGTGCGTCAGAAAGGTAGTTGCTGGGACCATATGGACCCTCCCCTTTAAAAGGGCAGACTTAAAACAAGTCCTTAATGGTGGTATGTGTTTATAATCCTAGCTATGCGAGAGAGGGAGATAGGAAGATTGTGATTTGAGGCCAGCCAGAAACAAAAATGCCAGACCCTACCTGAAAAATATAAAGCAAAAAGGGCTGAGGCATGGCTCAAGTGGTAGAGTGCTCTAGCAAGCATGGGGGCCCGAGTTCAAACCTGAGTACACTCAAAAAGAAAGAAAATAAAAGGCAAGAGTGACATTTCCACTTGTTATGTTTTTGTCTTAAAAGCACTCCTTCCCCCAGTGCAATGTTGTCATGGAAATTATAGCTCAAAATTATTTTTAGTTTTAATTTTATTTTTGTTTTGTGGTACTGGGGCTTGAACTCAGGGCCTACACCTTGAGCCACTCTACCAGCCCTTTTTTGGGATGGGTTTTTTTGGAGATGGGGGTCTTGTAAACTATTTTGCCCAAGCTGGCTTTGAACACCAATCCTCCTGATCTCTGCCTCCTGAGTAGCTAGGATTACAGGTGTGAACCTGGTTAACAGCTCAGAATTCTTAATGACTATTTTTTTTGGAGAGCATCAGCTGGAAGACTTTATATTCTGGGTTAGGTAACATAGGCCATCAAAGAAATGACTGAATTAAAACAAAAATAATCTTTCCTTCAATAATGTGAAAGATACTTTTTAAAAATTAGATGTAATAGTCATGCTTCCTAAGACTCCTAAGAATTCAAGAATAGAGCATTTAAGGCCTTGTTAAGAAAACTGGGTTGAGGATCAAAGTTGCAAGTTCATCTTTTAGGATCACAGAAATATAAAATGAAGCAAACTAGAGATTTTTTCCCCCTCCCCAAAACACTAACATCCGCATCCTCCTGCTAGTGACACTTGGATTGTTCACTGCTTACTGCGTGTGTGTGTGGTAGTCAAGCTTTTACACAACACCCTCACCCAATATAATGCCTTATGTAAAAAGGCATGGTGTGTGGGTCAGCAGGGAGCAAGAATGAGAAGCAAATGCTAACGGTGCAGAGAGCAGGTAGATGTGCTTCCAGGGACATATGACAGAGGGAGAAAGACTGAGGGCCTTCTGGCCACTTATAGTCTTAATGAATCAACAGCTCATGTACCCTTGGGACAGTTTTGGTTTTGAGCCCAAAGTAGATAATTATTTATGTATTTTTTTAATATTTCAGTTTTAAAACAGGTCAATAGAATACATTCACAGGAGAATTTATAATTTAGGAGAATTCCTGGTTAGGAAAGAGTCTTCTGTGACTAAGAAAGATTCAGAAAAACATGGGCTGGTTTATTTGGCACAGACAGTTACACAGACTGCACTGGCATCAATGTTAAATTTAAAGTATACATTGCTGGGCACAGTAGCTCAAACCTGTAATCTTAGTAACTTAGGAGGTAGAGATAGGGAGGATTGTAGTTCGTGGCCAGCCCAGGCAAAAAGTTTGAGATCCCATCTCAACCAACAGCTGGGTGCAGTGGCACTTGCCTGTTATCCCAGCTAGGATGGGAAGCATAAAGAGGAGGATTGTAGTCCAAGCTGACCTGGACATAAAGTGAGACCCTATGTAAAAAATAACCAACACAAAAAGGGCTGATAGAGTGGCTTAAGTGGTAGAGTAACTGCCTTGCAAGCACAAGGTCCTTGAGTTCAAACCCTAGTGCAGCCAAAATTAACATAAAATAAAGTACATATGAGTGACTCATTTGTACACATACTTCATGTTTGATCTGGCAGTGTTCAGAGCCGATACCTTTACTATGCTATGCACTGCAACGAGCCACCAAAGAATTCAAAGGGACCTTAATTTTTTTTTTTTAAACTTTCATCTTTTTTTTTTAATTATCATTGTTTTATTATTCATATGTGCATACAAGGCTTGGGTCATTTCTCCCTCCTGCCCCCACCCCCTCCCTTACCACCCATTCCATCCCTTCCTCTTCCCCCCACCCCCTCAATACCCAGCAGAAACTATTTTGCCCTTATCTTCAGAGAGAGTCCTTAAAGGTCTTTGTCCCATATTTTTCAAACAGCACATTACATCTCATTAGTGGGTCATGAAATCAACTTGGCAATTACAATGAGTGACACAAAACACAGTAGAATAAAAAAATGTAAGAGGACACAGAAGGCTGGTGGAGTGACTGAAGTTGTAAAGCACCTGCCTAGCGAGTATGAGGCTGAGTTCAAACCCTAGCACAGAAAAAAAAAAAGAAGAAGAAAGAGGACACAGAGTGGAAGTATTATCATGAAACTTGTGCTTGTGGTTTTATATACTCATACGCACCAACTAATTAACAATGTGTAACAAATTCTGATAACAAGGCTTCTCCAAGAGATGCATGAAGGTCCTCTCCAGCCTTCCCATCAAAAGTAATAACACAGATGACAAGCTCTCCTTGTGTATTAATTTATATCATCCTCATAATGATATAATGACAGGTCTTATTCTCATCTATATCTTATCCTTGGGAAAACCAAGATACACTGAGCTCAGCTGAGTAACCAAGTCATCTAGCCATCAAGCAGCAGAGGTGGGATTTGATCCTTGAGAGTTGACTTCCATTCATGTTCCCCTGGCCTCTACCTGAAAAGCTTGGTCAGAACTCATGTCCCCCAAGACAGCCTATCCCGGTGTTCAAGTCTCAGATAAGGCTGCTAGAGTCAGGTCTAGAACAGATACCCAGTTTCCAATCTTTCTCTCCACTACACCTCATGAACAATGTTCTTAGGAAAAGGTGTTTCAGGAAGCTGAAATGAAACAAGCTTAAAATAAACAAAAGATACATAATACAAGTATATTTGATAGACAACATATTTATTTACATCACTATTTCCTTTTTACAACACTTCCACTTTTAAATAGTAAAAATTTCCAAAAAATCAGGGAGATATTTTAATAAAGAAAACTTTTACCCTATATTTTGTTTACTTACATGAATTTTCAAGAGTTCTAAATAGTTCTTTTGAAACTACAAAACAGAACTGAAGAGCTCTTAATCAAACCTTGTATCATTCTCAAAAGATTTCAGTTTAGGAATTACGCTTATTATCAGATTTTTGCAGTTTGGGTTGTTGCTTCAGGAACATGAACCTACTTCATAAATGAGCCACACTTTGGTTGCAGGCTGAAGACCTTTTGACACTTTTTGATGGTGAGCAATATTTTGATGCTTTTTAATTACACTGCTTTGATTAAGACCTTCTAGAGATTTTCTGTATAGCTGCATATGCTGTTTGTTGTGTGTATTCTCTGAGCACGCACTGCATTTAGAATGGATTCTCTCCACTTTGGCCAACTCTACAGGAGACTCACCAGGGATTCAGAACTTTACTCGTATAGGTACTGGGTACATTCTTTTCTCTTTGTCCAGTCATATTTTGGGATGCCTAATTTTCCATTGATACTGCTTACTTCTCCATATGCAAAGTGCTTACTTTTGAAAGAACTTACTATTCATACATTGACTTTCCACAGTAACAATGGTCCTGGCATCCTTTCACATCACACTGACAGATTTCATTTTTTTATTAGTGAAACTATAAGAGAGGATGGTTTTCTTAGTATTTTAAGCATGAGTTCCTCTGAACAGTTGGTATGACATCCATCAAAAAATAGAAAAGGTTAACTTTTTACCATGATCAAAGCTACAGATCACAGCAGAACCCCACAGCTCTGGCAGCATCTGTAAGAACAGCAAGGGCTGGTCTTGAACTTCATGCAGCAGCAATAGAGACGCCATCCATGAGGCGACCCTGCGGCTTTACAATGGGGAAAACAAAAGGGAGTTACAAAGTGGTAACGATTAAGAAAAGCACCAGTAGTGGAAAGGACTTTGAAATTCTTGTAACTGTTTAAATGTACAGAAGTTTTTCTCCTTTTTTTCCATTTTCTTTCTTCCCTTGAACCTAGGTGGTAACTGCATGGCCTGCTGGGACCCCACTTGCCCCTGGCACCAAGTGCTGACATCTCTAGCTGACCATGGACTACACCTGCTGGATCCACTTTAGTCAGTACTTCTCTCTCAGCCTTGTGCACTAGCTGCCCCTGCGATCTACTGCTCATGGTCCATGAAATGGAAGCTAATTGCCATTCTTGCCTAACTGGTAAGTTTTATTTTTTCTCTACTGCTCAGGGCCCTCCTATGGCTCAAGTGTTAAGTAGGCCAAAAATTTGAGCTGATAGACAAGTTCCTTTTGGGCACTCAAGAGCTCTTGTTTGAGAAAAAAGTTATTTGCAACAAACACTAGAGTGTCTAATAGTACATACAGCACAAGGATAGAAGGAGAAGATAAAAACAAACATTTTCCTTTTTCTAAGGATACTGATTGACCAAGATGTGAAACATCACAACAGAAAACTCAAAGCTAAGAATTAATACAAGTATAACGTTTTTTCTGTATAGTGGTACTGGGAATAAACATAACTGTTTTCAGCTGTAAGATTTCTGACAGTTCAGCAACATCCCAGCCAGTTATGCAGTAGTTTAAAGAATCCTTGCAAGTCATTTTATTACACAGATATACCGAAATACTTCTGTTGGGGAAAGCATGCAAGATGGTGATCAGGAATGAAACAAAATAATGTCACAAATTCACAATCAAAAGTCATTTCCTATGCCTGACGTGGAATGATTCCCCAGGGTATCATTCCCCAAGGTAGTAAATATACACAGATCTATGAATGCATGTGTACAAGTATGTGTGTACACATACACATGCACATGTAAGTACAGGTCTTTAATGTTCAACGTGGGAATGGAATGCATGAAATAGGTTCCTAGTCCCTACTGGAGGATACTCAGTTTTAGAAACAAAACTATTCCATAAGGTCAGTCTAAGAAGATAAAAGCAAGGAAGAGTATGGGGATGTTAATACAGACTAATTTATAATCCACTAAATCCTTACAAGGAAAAGTTTCCCCAAACTTGAATAAGACAGACACAAACAAGGAGGTAGGGAGCAATTAAGCCATCAATTCAAAGGCTATGGTGTGAACATACAGGGGGCCCAAGATCCATATCCACTTATATAAGTGGAGTTACAGAAGAAAACCAGAACCATCTGAGGGATAGCCCTGATTTCAGCATCTAGTAATGACTAAATCAGAGGTGGTCTGCTGAGCTAAATTAAACATTTGTTCTGGCAAACTCACTCTCTTACATGCTAACCACAATCATTATACATATTCTTTTATTGCAGGAACCTGGCAATTATATAATTCTTTAAAACTTTAGAAAGTAATCCATTTGATCTGACTCTTTTCTTTTTGGTGGCAAAGGGGTTTGAATTCAGGGCTTCGCATTTGTAATACAGACACTCACAGCTTGAGCCACTCTGCCAGTTCCATTTGATAAAAACTAGTTTCAACCAGGTGCCAGTGGCTCACATCTATAATCCTAGCTACTCAGGAGGCAGAGATTAGGAGGATCATGGTTCAAAGCCAGACTGAGGCAAATAGTTTGGGAGACCCTATCTCAATAAAACCCAATACAAAACAGGGCTGGTGGAATGGCTAGGTGGTAGAGAGCCTGCCTTGCAAGCATGAGACTCTGAGTTCAAACCCCAGTACTGCAAAAAAGAAAAAAAAAAGTAGTTACAAACTGCAATGTTAAAACACACACCTAATTAACCAGGCACCTGTGGCTCATGCCTGTAATCCTAGTTACTTGGGAGGCTGAGATCGGAGGATTATGGCCTGGGGCCAGCCCAGGCAAATAGGTCACAAGACTCTATTTCCAAAATAACCAGAGCAAAAAATTGGATTGGAAGTGTGGCTCAAATGACAAAGCACCTACTTTGCAAGTTTGAAGCCCTAAATTCAAATCCAGACCCACCAAAAGAAAAAAAAAGAGAGAGGAAAACACACTTGACTAAGCCAGAGAAAGCATGTTCAGGGATAAATCACTAAATATTTAAGAGAATAAAAAGTCTCTGAAATTAGAGTCAATAAAATAGTATGACTACAGAAACGAATAGCAATATTACAAAATTCAGATAATAAAAGTCAAACCCATCACTGCTAGTCAGTCTCAAAATATTGCTTAATGAAGTTTACAAAAGAAAATGCCTTTGCTTTTAAGATGGTGAGTTTAAAAACCAGAAAATTTCGAAGCCATACCTTTACAAAAATACTGGTAGGTATAAAACGCCTGAGCAGCTGATTTGTGAAGTTAGGAAGTCTGAGCAAGCTGATATTGAGAGATGGCAGTTGCTGGTACCCAGCCATGAGAGGATAGAAGTTATATAACATTTCCTGTTCAGTGCCAGGTAGAATACGTAATCGAATCTAATTGTAAAAAGTTAGAAAAAAATAGTCAAACGTGTATTTATAATACATACACACATGTACATATATACATTTATATGGTTAATTACCCTTAATTATTTACAAAAGATGAACACCCAAATCCTTCTTATGAAATATTAACTCTTTTATTCCATCTTCCAATCCTAGCTAGTAGAGTGGCTCAGGTGGTAGAGCACCTGCCTAGTAAGTGTAAGGCTGAGTTCAAATTTCAGTACCACCAAAAAAAAAAAAAATCTTTCAGTCACATTCTAAAATGTAGACCTAAGTAAGTACGAAGTCCAATGAGGCAGACAGGAAACAAATTAAAAGATGCATGTACAATCTCTCAGCTTCTACCAAGATCTGAAAATAATTTGTACCTGGTTAAGAAAAAGAATACTAGTCAGGTTACTGCTTTGTGTGTCTCAGACCAGGGATTTTATGTTCCCAGATGTTATAGGATAATCTGTTAAACTGTGTCTCCTTATAGATATGTCAATATAACCCAAACTAGTTGTTTCTGCTTATTTTCTTATAGCGACTTTGCCACTGTGTTAACGTAAACAACTTCCAGGAAGAAATCTTTAACAATACTTTAAAAGGAATAAAAACTTGCACAATTTGGCATTGTTTTATTTCCTAACTATTTATAAGCAAATACCTGGAAAGATCAGGACACTCAAGAGAAATTTATATATTTGAAAGTAAGAAATGTGTACTCATATGTATACGATGTGTAAGAGATAATACACAGGTATAATACCAATGTACTATAGCTTGTATATTTAATATTTTATGTCATAAATTTAAAATGGTACATGAATGTATAGTGTATTTCATATAAAACTGTATTTTGCAGAGCAAAGCTGACTAATTAGTCAGGATAGGTATTTCTAGGTATATGTTTATTCCTGTAATTATGATTAGGCCATTATTAATTAAAAAGTATTTGTTAACAATTGAGGGGTGTCTGTTATCATTCTAACAGTAGAGGATGATACTCTTACTGAAGTATGATTTTGCCTGATAGACAAACTTTCCACTTGACTTGACTGATCAAATTAAAAAGCCTGGATAATGTATTTTTAAATATAGATACAAAATAATTTCTACAAAACTTTGCTGATAGTTCAGAAGAAAACACGGCTTTTCACATTGGTATAGTCATGTATCCAAGCCTCAGATCAAGACACACACCCCCCATAGCTCCCCACACACTCCTCCCCTAGGCACTGGTAAATAAAGGTGAGATTTAAACTTCTGGGGAATTCTAACATATTATCGTATAGTCCAATGATTCATGAACTTTAGTTTTATAAGGAGTAAGAACCTATATACCTGATCTTGGTGACACGAAAAGGGAAACCCAACTTTGTGGAAAGTTGTACACAATCCTCAGAAGTGCTTAAAAATTCACTATTATCGAAACAATATAAATCATGGTCATTATAAAAAACTCCTGCTCTCGGTTTCTTGTCGACATCACGAAAGATGGTCTTTACCTGTTTGAGACCTGAGAACATGAAGGCATCACTGGGCTCCACAGAAATCTCCACATCCTGAACTAAGTTCGTCTTATTCTGCAGGTGATATTTGACAGGTAATGATTCTCTGACACGCCCAAATGATGGCAGATCTGTAGAAAGAGGACACATTTCTCTTGGCTACAAATAAATACAGCTTATTATTTGTGGGGTGTCTTTGTGAAAGAATCTCATTCAACTGATCCATGGTATAATTTCAATCATACTATCCCTGCATTTTTGCTAGGTAAGAAACTTCTTTGAGTGAACAACAGCCACAGGACTATGATAAAACAGACCAAGAAGAAAATGTCTCCTAAAAATGACTAATTTAGAAAGGTTTGGCTATCAAGAACTAAACTACACAAGTAATTTAAAAAATCCACAATTTCTCAAAGTAACCATCATAGTTCTAGAATAAGCAAAAGTTGTGCTTTAGTGAAATGCTAAGTAAAACTTTCATTTATTCATTCATTTAGATATACACTTTGTTTACATCTTTTTCTGGAATTCAGTTGTTTTGTTTTTCCTGGAACACAAAATATGGAATGCTTCGTGAATTTGTGTGTTATGCTTGCACAGGGGCCATGCTAATTTTCTGTGTCATTCCAATTTTAGTTTTTGTGCTGCTGAAGCAAGCTTTTTCAAAATTATTATAGACACTGCAGTAACAGTTGATAAAGGGAAGCTTCTCTTGAGAAAAGCATTCCAGTAAAGAAGAAAGGACAGGTATTATGTGCCACCTATGGAGAACATCCCTAATTAGCTCTGAAGTATTAGTGCCCAAAACTTGAACCTGAATCTGATCAAGCTTACAGACTGCCAATTTATAGGGATTGAGAAACATTTAAAAATGACACATATAATCAGCAAAATCCAGGCTGTGGGAAGCCCTACCGGACAAATGCCTGGTTTCTTCAAAAAAACCAGCAAGAGGAAGAGAAAAAGGAGGAGGTAAAGGTGGAAGTGGTGGTGGGGAAGGGGAGAGTGATGGGAGAAAGAAGTACTGGAACAGAGGTGGAAGAGGGTCAAATGGGAAAAGGAAGAGAGGATATAGGGGACAGGAAGCCAGCCTACATATAGATTTAGATGGACAGAATGAGACATGCATAAACTGCAGTGTATAGACCTTACAACAAACTGAAAAACATTCAGGGTCAACTAGGAAAATTCGATGATATTAAGAATTTATTGCTAATTTGCCTGTATGCATATTCAATTCTTTGTTTCTTCTCTTTCCCTCTCCCCCGACCTCTCCTTCCTTCTCTTTCACTCGTTCAACCTCTTTTGTTCAGTATGTGTAACTTGAAGCTAATTTGTACTACTGGATATCTGACTGGAGCTACAGATACAAAATCTGTATCGTTCTTACCAAACACAGCATGGAATTAACATTAAGCTTAAATAAAACAAACCTAAATTAAAAAAAAAAAAGAATTTATTGTTAATTTAAAAAGTCGTAATACTGGTATGATTATGTTTAGAAAAGGAGCCACTCTAAAGAGGCAAATTGAAATATTTACAGATGAAATGACTCTGGGATTTGTTTTAAAATAATCTGGATGAGAGAAGCAAATATAAGTTCTAGAAATGTTAGACATTTTTCATACTATAAAGCTAAAAAACTAAAGTCTCAGAAGCTGAAAGAAATATTACTGAATACTTATTATTAAGTAGTAGTACATGAACTCTTGCTACCTGCATTCACATGGAGAGGGAGATTCTCTACAATCACATGTGGCAGCGTGATGACAGTGCTGATGACAGGTGTGTTTTCCATTGCTGAAGTCCTATGGCAGAGAAGGTTATATTTTAAACTCACACTTTATGTAAAAAGCTAGCAAATCAAACACAGAAACATGTGTATTCACACGTTATTTTCAAAGAAAATCTAAATTATCCATTTCCTAAAACTTTATGTCTAGAAGTAGTTCTGTAGAAATGTTATAACCCAGAGCTACTATCTGTTCCAGCCGGGGGATAAGTCAGGAGTTGTGTCCGACTGTTAATCATGAAGCACACCATTTCACTCGGTGTCTTGGTAGCAGAACATTCTCAATGCCAAAGCAGTGCAGTGATCTGCATCATGGCACAACTCCTTATCTCATGAGAAGGGATCACAAATGGGCCCCAGACTACTTCAATAGGCACAGGTACAGAGCAGAAACTGAAGAATTAAAAGCTATTTTACTATCAGGAGGCAGAGTGGTGTTCTAACACTTGCTGAGCTAAAGCAACATTAGTTTCCCTCTGTCACTGTTGCTGTCTGACTGCTAGGGAATCCCTTATGAAAGGTCTGAATGAAGAGGGGAACAGCTGACATCATGTGCTCACTTCTCAGAGCAACAGCAAGAGGCAAAGCAGCTAAGCCCCCTGAACAGTAAACCAACTAGCTTTGGAATACTGCAGCAGCATGCTGGAGCACTAAGCATGCCTCTCAAGAGCCATTTCAACACTATCCACACACAAGTTAAACTAAACATTACAGGATAAACTCACAAGTAGGGGAAGAAAAGATAAGGCAGATTTGTTTTTAAAGAAAATTACTTATTTCTCTATTCTCATTTTTTAAATTTCAACTTTAAATGCTAACATGGTAAATACACATGTAACTCACATACATGAAAGCTCTTTAGGGTTCTCAGTAATTTCTCAAAGTGAAAAGGTTTTCTGAGGCCACAAAGTTTGAGAACTGCCATCCATAGCTTCTTATTGTCCTCTATCTTTGTGGAATTTGATATCAGACCTCTTTGAAGAACTTTCTTCTCTATGCTTTGCATTCAATTTATAAGAAGAATAATGATGTCATGGAATTACATCTACTAAACATTTTCATTGTTGCTGTGGGGTTTTGTGGAGACAGTGTCTCACTATGTAGCTCTGGTTAGCCTCTTATCTCAACCTTGTGAGTGCTGGGATTACAGACATGTACTACCATACCTAGCAACATGTCTATGTCGAATTTGGTTATCTATCATTCCCATGTATTTCTTTACACAATTCCAAATTTTACATGTAGTTCACTGATAAACAGTATTCTTTTTATGGTTTGAATATGAAATGTCCCCAGAGACTCATGAGTTGACTGCCTGGTCCCCAGTTGGTGCACAAATATTATGGGAGGTTTCTGGAGTCGTTACGAGGAGGGGCCTACTGGAGGAAGTAGGTCATCACTGCCCATCTTCCCCAGCCCTCTCCACCTCTCTGCCTCCTGTCTGCCATGAGGTGAAGAAGTACCTGCTGCCATGGTTTCCCCAAGCACATGGGGCTAGGAGACCATGGACAGTGAGCCAAAATAAATCTTCCCTCCTGTAAGCTGTTCACTCAGGTGCTTTGGTCACAATGACACACAGTAACTAAGCCCACTTATAGCTTGAAAGCACCATTGTTGGTTCACTTTCCTGCTGATGGGAAGTTAGGCTTGGCCCAGCTTTGTTTTTACTACAATAATCAGAACTACTGTGAACATTCCTAGACATACTCCTTTGTGTCCAAGTCTGAGACTCTGTCTAGGTCTGCAGGTTACAGTCATCTTCCACCTTATCAAGCACTGCCTGACAGATTTCTAAATCAATTTCTGTAATTCATACTTAACATCTTTAACATATTATTGTTAAACCTTTATTTTTTCCAAACTAGTGGAATTTGAATCTCAAATGTGGTTTTAATTTGTCATTCCCCAAGTACTATTAAGATTGAGCCTCTCTGCATACATTTATTGATCAACTGGTTCCCTCAGCTTAATTTAAACTGTGTCCTCAAATATTTTGCTCCATTTTCTGATAGGAGACTTGTCTTTCTTATGATTTATAGAAGATCTTAATATGAATACTAGTCCTGGTCACTTATACATGTTGGAAATAATTTTAATATCTTATCCCAGTTTGTACTGTCATTTCCCAGTTTGTATTTTACTTTTTGATTTTTCTTTATGATATTTTTTAGTGAGCCAAAAACTTAATTTTAATAAATCAGTTTTAGAAACTAGAACATTTCGTGCCTTACTCAAAGAAGTTCTTTTAGACCCTAAGGTCATAAAGCAATTCTCTTATATTTTCTACTAAAAGTCATAACGTTTTGCTTTTGACAATTAGATCTTTAATGCACCTGGAAAGAATTTTTTATATCTAGTCTACAGTAGAGATCTAATTTTTTCCTGAATGCACAGCCAATTATTTACCAATGATAAAACAGTTCAGCATTTCCCACTGACTTGCAATGCTATCTCAGTGAAACACCATTTCCATATATGTGTGAATCTACAGAACTATTTCTAGACTTTTCTGTACCACTGGTTTATTTACATACTCCTGAGCCAATACTACAGTGTTGACTATTATAGCTTCACAGCAAATCTTAAAATCTAGAATGGTAAGTACTACTGTCTGGTCTTTTTCTAAACTATCTTGACTATTTCTAACTTTTTGCCTTTCCATATAAATTTTAAAACTGAGTGTCAAGTTACACAAAAACAAAACAATCTACTGAAATAATAAAGGAACTACTCTGGATCTGCAGAAAAAATTAAAAGAATAATTCTTAGCATGACCATTGTGTACCTTTCCCATTTATCTAGATCTTCTTTTAATGCTCTAATGTTTTGTAGTTTTCTCCATAAAAGTAATTAAAATCTTCTATTATGCACATTCCCAGATAGCCTGGGCTAAGTCAATAACAACTTTATTTAAAGTACATTGCCTAGAGACTTTCTGATTTGTGGAAATGAAACTGAGTTTTGTACACTGACGTTATATCCAGGAACCTTGCTGAAACTCACAGTTCTTTGAGCGTTTTATGTAGATAATCCCATTGACTACATATGAGGACAGTTTCATCTGATGCTTTTCAATAGTCCTATCTTCAGATTTAGTTTGGCTAACATTTCACTTAGCATATAAGTCACAAATTGTGACAAACACAAAGTTTAATTTTTCTTTTTAGTCTTTGTATTTTCAACACATGCTTACCCATATTCATGTGACTTCTACTCTACTCGTCAGAATGCTAAATGAAAATGACAAATAATCGAAGTATTAGGATAAAAAGACAGGAAGAGATAGGGCTGAAACAATCTTTACCGCTTCCAGGAAATAATATAATGTCCAGTTGCTACTCCACCTTCACCACTTCCAACAGATGGGCATCGAAGGCAAAAGCATTCACTAGCACTCTCTCCAGTCTGTAAGACAACTACAAGAAAGAATCCCTATAATCTTATGCAATGACTGTATCTATGAGAGTCTCATATCCAAGTAACATAACAAAGAAATACCTTATTACTTAATCAATATTTATAGTATGGGACTGAGAAACTAAGGTTTGGCGATGTTAAATGACTTTCAAAGTCACAAAGTCCAGTGTTTGTGCTAATTTATCAAAGCTGTATTGTAACAGAAGCCAGTGCAGCATCTGTGGCATTTGTTCACCTGTCGCCTGCAATAAAGTCCTACTAACGCTAGTGAGTGAGCAGAGCTGGGAGATAGCGACACTCTACACGATTATTTTTCTTCTACAAATGATTTCATGTCTCCAAAGGAAACATTTTTGAGTAGACAAAGAGAAAAAATTTTAGTTACTGTAAGTACTCACAATGTTATTTTTTAAATTTCTGGCTTTCTCTGAGTAAATAGGTATTATTGATACCACTCAAATGTAAATATATCACACATTCCTTCATTATTGCCTGGTGTGGCCAGTGACCTTTTTGTGCAGGAAGATTTCCCTTCACTGGTTTTAGAGTGAATTCCCTGATGAGAAGATAAGTGTTCATCTAACTCAGGCTTCTCTAGCTTTCACCACTTTTCAGCCTAGAATGTCACTCTCACATGCAAGCAGGCAGTGGTACTATCTAATGTGTTTGAGCAAATCTGCAAGTGAAACTTTGAAATAACGACAGCACTCCTCAACATTAGGTTGCTATTTTTGTAGTTTTTCAAAGAAGAAACAATTAATGGAAGTCTAATTGTTGATAGGTAATAAACCACAGTGAAAAGGAAAAAAGCTGCATCAACTTTTACTCTGAACTCTTTTAGCAAACCAAAAAACAATACAAAAATGAACAGACACAGCTCTGGCTCTAAAGGAAGCCAGATTTATAAATAAATCATTGCAATATAATATAACAGTCTTATATTACAACTGAGTATAATTTTGTTTGGGTAAAGATCGAAACTAATTTTTATTATCTCTAAGAGCTCAAGAGGCATACAAGCTCAAAGTTCACTGAACTGAAAGGTGTTGTCCTAGGTTCAAATCTGTTCTATGAATTGTTTTGGTTGGTTTTTGTGATTTAGGAAATTAATCTTCTACTTTCCTATATTTTCCAGCTTCTTTAATAAATGTATTATTTCAAATTATAAATAATGGTAAAATTAAATCTAAAATTAGTAAGAAAAAAGAATGTTTAAAATTTTCAAACATAAGCTGGTATGGTAGCACATGCCTGTAATCCCAGCTACTTTGGAGACAGAGGTAGGAGGACTGCAGTCCAAGGCCAGCCCAGGCAAAAGTATAAGACCCTATCTAAAAAAAACCTAAAAGCAAAAGAATTGGGGGTGTGACTCAAGTGACAGAGTACTTGCCTAGCACATGAGGCCCTGAGTTCAATCCCTAATAGAATCAAAATATAAAAATATTCAAACTTGAAATAAATTACCACTTTAAAGTACATTTTTCAAAGTGTGACATCTTCAGAGTAAACCTAATCTTTTAAAATAAGGTAGCTCAAACAAATGGTAAATGACATTAATTCTAAATGTGTTTGCTTTTGTGACTAGAAGTCTCAATTTGCCTCATTTGGCAAAAATCTAACACTTACACTGCTAGCTTACACACATGTGGCACACACACAACTCTCCTTCGGCCCCTTAAGTGGGAATGATGCCAAGTCTCACCTTTGTCCACTTGGGACTCCAGCTGGTCCACTGCAGTCATAGAAGGAGCAAGCTGCAGCTCACTGGATACAATTGTAAGGGCCCAAGGTGAGGCACTTAAAAGGTCCGTCATCAACAGAAAAGGGATGTCAGCATAGACCCTTTCCAGGTGCTCAAACTGCCACCAATGAAGATAAGAGATTAACCCACTTTATTTTCTCTTGTCAATTTCTATAACCCAAATGCTTTCCAGTATGCATTATAGGAACATACCTTTGTGGAAACAAACTTGACTGCAACATCAAATGGAAAGACAGTTTCTATTGTTACAGTTTCATCCTGCAAACATTTAAAGGACACATTCAGTGGCTTTCTAAATCTTTTCATATCAAGAAAGTTAATAAAAGGCATATAATACATAATAACTGATCAATAAATAGTCCCTAATTCTGTATTAAGAAGCAAGGATCTTTTCTTAGATAATATCTGTAAAACTCTATGTTGAGAGACCCACTCTTCCTAGTAAATTGTTTACAGCTTTCTAACAACTCACTCTGTACCATGCTTGCTTCTACATTATTTATCTCTGGATCCAGTAAGTAGGCAGCGCAAGCATTGTTACCACTGTACAGAAGAGGAACCAGATGTTAGTAAGGATAAAGTCACTTGCCTAAGGCCACAAATGGTTCCAAGTCTGGAATTTGGGCCTTCCCCTCTGCAAGTTTTACCTCTCCTTGACTCAAGAGGACTACAATAACAACACAACATGAAAATAATAATAATGTGACAGACACTGTTATAATCACTATACATGTACCATGTAATACTCATAATCACCCAAAGAAACAGGAGACATTAAGACTGACACTTTAAGATGAGGAGGTGTGGCTACAAAAGTGACAGGCAGAAACTTTACCCAATGTGATCCTGGAGCTCTACCTTTAGCCAACATGCTACATTGCCTCTCTATAAGAGTCTGTTTGAAAAGCAAATGATCTCCAAAACAAATGATCTCCAAAGTTGGACAGAAATATTTAAAAATGGCTGCACTGATTAAAAGCTCAGGCTGTAATGCCAGAGAGATGTGGCTTCTAATCCCAGCCAGACACATGCTTATGAGCTCCATGACCTCAGACATAACGATGTGATTTGGAAGTGACCCACATACAGCATGGACACTTTAACTATCAGTTTCATAATCCTGGAGTTGTTATGACAATTAAATGAGACATTGCACGGGAAGTGCGCAGATGGCAGCCTTAGCTTCCAATTTACATCTAGGCTCCACCTTACACTAGGTATATCAAATCTTTGACATGTCTTTGTCGCTCTCAACTGGGAAATGTTGCTTACCTTTTTGGCAAGTTTTTCCTCTCCCAATGACTGATAAATAACCCATAGCCCAGAATCTGTACACCTGAACTACAAATCCCCAAACTGCAGGGTATTTTCTTCTTCTGAGGTGAGTAACCAATTCCTAAGAAAAAGTTGGCACAACACTGCTGCCAAGATCAAGAAGATAGTAAGTAAAATGATGCAAAATACAGAAATGCTCCATGTACAATGTTTCATGAGACAGGTAAGAAAAAATACCTTGTGACACTTGCAGACAATTTCCTTTTCTTCAACAGTTGTATTGATCAGGTAAGAAACATATACAAGAAACATTCTTGAGCCCACTGTTCCACAGCGAATATATAACACTTTTTCCAGCTGTAACAAAACATTATAATTTAATTAGTATTACAGAGACTTCCTCCTGAAATATACATATAACTATATTTATTATATAAATATATATATGTAAATAATTATTCTAGGATAATAATGTTCTCAACTTTTAGTTTACTGAAGCAACTGCCTAAATTCTTTTTCATTTACTGTTGTGGTGTAACTAATGTAATGAAGTTCCCCATGAAGAGCCCTGGGTATACCACCACCACCACCACACAACGGGACTGGTACTCCATCCTTGATTATTACCCTCAAAACTTCCTAGCAATTTTTTGTATTTGCTTTGGAAACAGAAGCTGGCTGAGAGGTTACTGCACTAAGTCACAGACAACAGTTATTTTATTAGCAACTAGTTCTCCAGCTCAGGGTTATTGGTTCTAAAATTCTTTATATAAAAATTGCCTAAGCTACTTTACACATTTAAATATGTAAAAATACATGTAAAGTGTTCATTAATTAAATCACTTTTTTATCCTAGAATATGCTTTTAAAATGCTCCGAAACTGTCTAAAACTCACTGCATACTTAAAACTAAAATCAAGTAATTTCCTCTCTAATCCCAATGACCAAGCTCACCTTTTCTCCTGGATCTAAGTCTCCAACAGGAATGTCCGTGAGCAAAGCCGGGTAGGACTCATCACATAGTTCTGTGCCATGAAGACTCACATGCGTTTTCTGAGTTAAGTTGGCATCCTGTCCTAAGAGAGATTTTAAGACACAGAGGTCAAACATCATAACGATCAATGCTGTGTGAAAGGCACTATATCATACTACCTTTTAAACACATATCCTATCCTTGACACAGTGGTGGTTGCTCTGTTAGATTAGTTCTGACCAACTTTACAAAATGAATGCTTACCAGGCTTTAAGCCAGCAGTGAGCTTCACATCCCTGATTTGGGTCTTTTCATGGGATTGAACGGTCACAACCAAACAATACATTTCATTCATCAGGGCAGGAGGCTCATGTTGAAGACATACAGAGATGTTTGGGACTCTGGAAATGATCCTTTGAAAACAAACCTTAGCTAAGTAACTGGTTTTTTTTTTTTTAAATAAAGTATTTAAAAGGAAAAAAAAAGGGATGATCTTTACTCTGCCTCAAAAACAAGACTTACATGGTACTCGCCTGAATTATGACACTGTCCCAGTGAATTTCGTTGTCCGGGAGCTTAGGCCGTCTTTTGAAAGAGCGCGAAGCCTGCAGGGCTTCCTGGGAGGAAGCGGCATCACCGCCCCCTCCCTGCCAACTCAGAACCACGCACCTGCCTGTCTCACTGCCAAGAACCAGATCCACAGCAGTGATCTGAAAGAGGGATGTGGTCAGATGTGCCACCCATACCTGCTGTCATCGTCCCCTCTACAAAACCACACTCAGTACTACTGGCATGCGACATTCACCAGGACACCCATAGTGTAACAGTCTCATTCTGGCTGGGATACTGACTCAGTGTGCTCAGTTTCAACTTCTTCACCTTTAAAACAGATCATGACCCGGCTTTCTAGCTAAGAGACTGGATGGGGCCATTAGGATGTTAGCACCCAGCACAGATGCTTAATCGGTGGGGGCTAAAGGGAATAAGTGCTTTAATGACCATGATACATTTAAAATCTTATTCAATTCCAAAACTAGGTTTCCTAAAAATATGTATAATAGTAATTATGAAATGTTAGTCCAATGAATTTAATCCTATTCGACGACTAACTAAATGTTTCTTTGAACTAAATCTATCAGAAAAAGGACTCAAAATAGGATTATTAATTATAACATTTGGTAGACTTCCTCAGGTACCAAGTGACAAATAAAATACAGTATTAGGGATTTAGTCAAATAATTTTTCACTGTTTACTTAGCAACTGTTATCTTTATGTATTATTTGAATTTTCTGACATACACATACTGCTTTGGTCATCGAAAATATTTTAAACAAATTTCATTACTAACCTCAATTTTCTTTCCCACATCTTCAGTTTTTGCCACAAATTTAAACAGCAGTTTTCTCGTTTTACCAGGAACTAAGCACATCTTTCCTTGGGTCAAGTTTTCTAAAACATCGCTTGCTTTGGATGCTTCTTCTATCACACAGAACTGGTTGTACTCCTGAAAAAGAGGCAAACAAAGGTCAGTCTGCGGTTAGCAGTCTGCAAAAAACTGAAACTAGATCCATGTATATCACCCTATACCAAGATTAACTCAAAATGGATCAAGGATCTTATATCAGACCACAAACTCTAAAGTTGATAAAGGAAAGAGTAGGAAATACTCTGGAGTTAGTAGGTATAGGTAAGAACTTTCTCAATGAAACCCCAGCAGCACAGCAACTAAGAGATAGCATAGATAAATGGGACCTCATAAAACTAAAAAGCTTCTGTTCATCAAAAGAAATGGTCTCTAAACTGAAGAGAACACCCACAGAGTGGGAGAAAATATTTGCCAACTATATATCAGACAAAGGACTGATAACCAGAATATACAGGGAACTTAAAAAACTAAATTCTCCCAAAACTAATGAACCAATAAAGAAATGGGCAGTGAACTAAACAGAACTTTCTCAAAAGAAGAAATTCAAATGGCCAGAAAACACATGAAAAAATGCTCACCATCTCTAGCAATAAAGGAAATGCAAATTAAAACCACACTAAGATTCCACCTCACCCCTGTTAGAATAGCCATCATCAGCAACACCACCAACAACAGGTGTTGGCGAGGATGCGGGGAAAAAGGAACCCTCTTACACTGTTGGTGGGAATGTAGACTAGTACAACCACTCTGGAAAAAAATTTGGAGGCTACTTAAAAAGCTGGACATCGATCTACCATTTGATCCAGCAATACCACTCTTGGGGATATACCCAAAAGACTGTTACTCCAGAGGCACCTGCACATCCATGTTTATTGCGGCACTATTCACAATAGCCAAGTTATGGAAACAGCCAAGATGCCCCACCACTGACGAATGGATTAAGAAAATGTGGTATCTATACACAATGGAATTTTATGCAGCCATGAAGAAGAACGAAATGTTATCATTCGCTGGTAAATGGATGGAATTGGAGAACATCATTCTGAGTGAGGTTAGCCTGGCCAAAAGACCAAAAATCGTATGTTCTCCCTCATATGTGGACATTAGATCAAGGGCAAACACAACAAGGGGATTGGACTATGAGCACATGATAAAAGCGAGAGCACACAAGGGAGGGGTGAGGATAGGTAAGACACCTAAAAAACTAGCTAGCATTTGTTGCCCTTAATGCAGAGAAACTAAAGCAGATACCTTAAAGCAACTGAGGCCAATAGGAAAAGGGGAACAGGTACTAGAGAAAAGGTTAGATCAAAAAGAATTAACCTAGAAGGTAACACCCACGCACAGGAAATCAATGTGAGTTAATGCCCTGTATAGCTATCCTTATCTCAACCAGCAAAAACTCTTGTTCCTTCCTATTATTGCTTATACTCTCTCTACAACAAAATTAGAAATAAGGGCAAAATAGTTTCTGCTGGGTATTGGGGGGGGAGAGGGAGGGGGCGGAGTGGGTGGTAAGGGAGGGGGTGGGGGCAGCGGGGAGAAATGAACCAATCCTTGTATGCACATATGAATAATAAAAGAAAAATGAAAAAAAAAAAAAAAACAAAACAAAGGTCAGTTTGCAATCGCCAAATGTCAATTCTTTTGCTAACACTAAACACCAAGTGATTTGGAGGCATTCAGTTTTAACACCACTATACTGAGGCATCATGAGGGGTTATTAATAAAAAGTTCTGAAAGCTAAATTCAGGTGCTTATCTATTCAACGTTGCCACAAGAAAAAAACAACCCAACAGCTCACTATATATAACCCCACTCCTGAAAACACTCCCATGTCTCTTCTGTAAAGGGAGAAACAGAGATTTGCCCTTTGTTACACTTTTTGCCTAGGGCTGACCTCCAACCACTGGTCTCTGCCTCCTCAGTAGCAGGAATTAAAGGCATGCATGCCCACATCCAGTCCCCATAGGCATTTTTTTCCCTTCATCTGTTCCTTTAACTCAGAGTTCCAACAAGTTTTTGTCCTTGGCTTTTGGTTCTTCTATTGTTTTTTATGTTCACCTCATTTTCAAGTTTACCTGTTTTCTGATGTTCTGCACCTTTGTGATAAAATCTCCCACATAAAAACAATCCTAATCTGTCCTATTTCCTTAACCATAGGCTTATACTGACGATTGCTGAGAATCAATCCACTGCCACCTCAAACTCAGCATGTCCCAGACTGCATGCATTCCCACCTTTCTAGAACAGCACACTCTACATGTGAATACATGGAGATGTCTTTCACGTACCCAGGAAACCACCATTCTCACCTGCTCGAGTCAGTACTGAGAGCTTTCCGAGAGCCACCACCTAGCCCAGCAGGTGAATCCCTGTCACAGAAAACTCTTATACAGTGTAAGTCGTATGCATTCTTCTTGAATTTTCATTTCTAGTGTAGTATTAGAAAACAAGCACTCCACTTTTCCTTATAATTTTGTATCTCAAAATTCAAATAAGATATATTCAGAAAATAATTCTTTTGGGGTGGGGCAGCACTGGGGTCTGAATTTGGCCTTGTGATACGTCCCCAGCCCTTTTTGCTTTTGTTATTTTTTGGATAGGGTCTTGTGTTTTTGCCTGAGGCAGGCCACAAACTGTGACCCTTCTATCTATGCCTATGAGTCGCACACCACAATGCCCAGCTTATTGGTTGGCCCAGGCTGGCCTCAAACTGTGATCCATCTGAGCTCCACCTCCTGAATAGCTGGGATTGTACTCATGTACCACCATGCTTGGCTTCAAAAATAATTTTTAAAAACTAATTGTTTTATATTCTATTGTAGCACTTATATCACTTTTTAATTAAGAAAGTAGTTATGCTTGTTATTAAAAAAAAAAAAGAACAAAGGAATGGTACAGTGGGGTATAAGAAAAGTATAGTAAGAGTCCCTACACAGACCTTCTATTCAAGATTTAAGGGAAAAGACCTGTCCTTGTGGAACTTTGATTCTAGTGAGCAAACAAGTAACTGATCAATAACCACACACACAATGTGAGAGCACAGATGTGACTATACGATGAAGGGATTGAGATCTGTGCTAAGGCAATCAGTCACAGAAGTCAGGGGAGGACTTCCTGAGGAAGCAATGCTTTTAAGTGCTACAAGACCAGGGAGAACTAACCAGTGAGAGAGACTGGCAAACCGATCTAAGCAGAGTACACAACACAAACAAATCTCCTGTCCTGTGTCCTGCTGCCCCATTTCCGATCCCCTCTATTCACTAACTCAGGCATATCTATTTTAGATGTACCTTGTATTTTTAAGTCTCCATTCCCACCACTAGCACCCTATTCCAAATCCTCAAGGCTTTGTACATAAACAGCCTCAACTAGTATCCATGGTGTCATTTTTCCTTTATTTTATGATGACAGCAGTTTCTTAAGACATAAATTTTATAGTCTGGCTCTAATGTCCTCCTTCTTAGAAAGAATCCTTAGGTGAGGGTCTGAACTTACACAAATACACTGATCTTCAGGAGACCCACGTTCATCTAATCATTCCTATTACAAGGCCATTTCTCAGTTCTTATTATTAATCAAGTATTCTTTAAATGATCCTTTTTAAAATCATTATCCAATAAAGAGACAGAACATGAATAAATAAATCTTAAAAGAATTCTATTTACTGGTCTACCTCCACTTAACTCTTAAAGATTACTGTGAGCCACTTGGCCTTACTTTCCACCACCCATGCTCAAAAACCCTTCTGGTCTGTTAAGGCTGTTGTCTTGACTTATCCATAAATACAGGGCACACAGTGTTCCTGTGCAATATTCTCTCACTGACAATCCTAAACTCATCCCATCTTTCCATACTTAATTTCACCTTTTCTTGGGACTTCTCTCTTTCCTTTGGCATGCCTAATGGAGCTGCAACATTAGCCTATACTGTAGTGGTCTTCATAATATACATGGGAAGTCTGTGAGTCAGTCCTGGACCTGAACCCTACAATATGACATTTTAACAGGTATGACATGCTATTCCTCTTTCAGGTTCAGGACACTAAGAATAGTGTAACTCTCAAAAGATGTTTGTTTATTAAAAGCTCCATATACTTTCTAGGTGACCAGAAGGTAGTTATCTGTCATGTGAGCATATAAATGAAAGGGTTGGAATGTAAGCTGTTGGCTTTATTACATCACACTTCAAAAGTGTTCAAATGCATGAAAAGTGGTATAAGTCAGATTCTGCAGGAAAAAAATGCTTACATATGCATGAACAGAAAATGTCTAGACTACTTAAAAAATTAACCGAGACCTCTGGGAAAATAGAATTGGAAGATCACAAATTTATACATTTACTTTTCCACTTTTTATCCATTTCCATTTTTTAAAACATCAAATATACATTAATTCTGTAATAAAAAATTAACAATGCTAAAAAAAAGCAGCAAATGGTTTCAAAAATGAGATTATATTCATCCTGAATATAAATTTGAAATTCGTTACATATTATAAAAAATGGAAGAATACAGAGTTCTTAGATTTTGTAAGTACAAAGTAAAAATAAAAATTTAGAGTGGGAAAAGAATAAAACTTGAATTGCTAGAAGTTTAGGGATTTAAGTACACTTTTTTTTTTTGGTGTACTGGGATTTGAACTCAGGGCTTCGCTCTTGCAAGACAGGTACTCTTACTACCTGAGCCACACCTCTAGCCAGTACATTTATTTTTTAGTAGAACTTGTCCAAAGTTCATTGATTACTATGAAAGCATTAAAACCTAAAATTTGCTGAACTCATTTTATATAGTTTAATGCAAGCTACAATAATATACACACACAGTAATAACACATTAATGGTGCAATTAATTACCTGATTATTAAAGCTGACACAGAGCTTGGTAAATCTAATGGGATGTGGACAGTCAGCCTTCAGATAAATATCAAACTGAACAGGAACATCGACATGAAAACTCGGGGCATGAAACTTGGCTTTACATTGTACTAGAAGTCAAACAAGAAGGACTGAGTTACACAGTACCAGATACTCAAGACCCACACACTTTATCCCATGAACCACTTTTATTCTTCAGAAACAGACACTTTCATCTTACTGACTTCTTATGTAAGGTATTCACACAGACTTCTGCACTTTAGGCTGTTCAACAGACATAAATGCAGCTTCAAAACCATCTTTAATTTTAAACACATCATTGCCCCTAAAATGTCAGTGACAGACTTTAAAGAAAAGAGAACCATTCTGTTAGTATTTTAAAATACCTGCCTAGACATTAAAGCATAGATCTTTTAATATTATCTTCTCAAGTGTGCTTCAAACACAAATGAAGTATGCTTTAAGACACATTTAATACCTTATTGATTTTTTCAAGGTATTCAAATCTACTGCATTGCTATTTTCACCTTTAACATTATCACCCTTCTCCTTTTTGAACAGTAATAAAAGGGGCAGGACATTTTCATAACCTCATGCCATCAAATCAGCTAATACAGATGCCTGACACATCCAATTATATAAAATTAATTTCTTTCATGATACAAAATACTGATATGTAATTAATGAAAAAATAAGACGTCAAAAAGTAACTCTTAAGAATACCCAGATGTATGCTGTACTCCCACTTATCTAGATCTGATCAATAAAACACATTCATTTAGATACTGATTTAACTCATGGGTCAAGGCCATATTTTCAAAGTTTAATACCTTGATTACTTTTATAAGACATTGAGGAGAAAGAAACAAATACATAATTTATCCATAAAATTACTATACTTAGACTTTTTTATTATTCTGCATCTATTCATTTTATATGGAGGATTTTTTCTGAAATAATATTGCTGGCTACCTACCAAATGGCACAAAGTCCTGTACTCCTATTGTAAAAACATTGCTGCCAGCCAGAGAAACTCGGTCTGCCCACAGCTTCTGAGCCGTCTTCACAGCTAAAGTATCGCAGTTGGGTTCAGGATCGGGACTTTCATTCTGCAACAACACAGTTAAGCATTTGTTCAAACAGCTGAAAACAATACATAAATAAAGATATATATATATATATATATATATACATACACACACACATACACATATCCCTACAACACATTTCATACAATGAATTCCATCCTACCATTAAAACATTTATGAGGTTCTTTTCTATCCGAGATTTCTGGTCATCTTTCAGAGTTGATGCTAAAATAGAAAAGAAAAAAAAAGAACTGTAAGACAGGCAAATAAGTTCACTACTTCCACTTATTGTTTCTAAAATATTTTAAAGTAAATACCTCTTCTGAGATGACTAAGCATGGTGACTTGTACATACAGTATAAACACTACTAAATATGACTCTAAAAATACTACTAAAATGATTCTTTTAAAAAGGTTAAAGATGCTAAATACTTGAGTGGATTGGAATTTTACAAAAAGAATATCCACTCACCTCTTCCAAGGAGTTCTAGGGAATAAGTAATGTAATCCTTTAGCTGGGCCATGAGGTAGGAGCATTTCAGCGCTGTAGTCAGTATAGATGTGAGCAGACTCCACCATCCTTCACTTCGGTAATCACACATCACATAATCTAGCAACCTAAGAGAAGACAAAACGTAAGATGTACTCAAACAGCTTCCCAAGAAGGGTTTAAAGAGTTCTTGGCAAAGACATGAACTTTTCTCACTTTATATAAATATAAGACAATCTCACTGAGATAGTTCAACATGTATCTTTCACATTTAGTGAAACCTAAGGTTTCTCAAACTTTGAGAAAGATTATGCCAGTACTTGAAAACATGTCACGGAAATGACATTTAATAGAAATAAACATGGAAGTAATAAGTCCTTCAATTAAATGTCCATTCCAATTTCACTGTAAGACCATGAGAACACATAAAAATAAGTAGTAAATAGGACTCACTTCAAAGCTTTGGTATAATCCTTTGCGTGGTAATATTCCTCTCCCATTTGAACCACTATAAAAGAAAACAAGTTCATGAACGTAATTTGAAATATTCAAAGTTGCATGAAACTGTGGCTTGTTATGGATACATACTTAGATGACTTTTCATTCTTGGACACTTATACTTTTTGAATTGTGCGACAGCATTGCTCAGAAGGGTTATTATTATTTCCTGTAAGAAAAGATAAAGTGTGAAATATTTAAATAAATAAAATCCCTTATTTCCCTTGAATACTGCAAGAACAGTTTATATTGGGGGGAAAAAAGTAACTTACAGAGTGAACAACACTCCTCTCCTTCAGCTGAATGGCAAGAATTCCTACCTTCTCTTTTTCAGGATCAGAAAGATCAAAACCTGTGTAAGATAAGACACAACCCATTTTAGATAGCTCATTTAACATAAATTTTTACATGGACATTGTATGTGCATACTCCCCAAATCCTTTGCTTTAATACAATGTACTTCAGATTCTTAAACATTCTGAAGATTCTAAGAAACAGCTTTATTGACGTGGGAACTTCTGTGATCTCTGTTCTTAGAGAACATGCCTGAGCTCAGTGTTCTTTTACATAGTAGATCAACCATTTGATAGCTGATGCTCTATAGAGAACACACTCTCTGGAGATTCAAGTGCATAATTTCTTAACATTTAAGGTTCAACTGCCATAGATGTTGCTTGATTAAATTATGTATAAAACACAAAAGAGATGCAGCTAAATTGCTTTAAGGTGATACAAGTCAATGGTGTTAAAATTTCAAAAAAAAATCATTAAAGTTAACTAGAATTAAAATATTTACTCAACAATGGCTTATTTAAGACAACAGATGTCCAATGTTTTAATCACATCAATACCTTTAATTATAAAGTTACTCTAAGATGCAGTGATATAAACCATTCTAAAAATTAGGAAACTGAAAATCTCAAAACAATAAAAAAGCTTACGAAAAAGTCATGTATGTTTATTTGAACATATTTTTTCCACTGGTTTCATTAGGCATAAAGAAATTCTAGTAACTATCTTTGCCTTTTTGAGGTTGAGAGAAGGAAAATTATTTACTTAGTACTCCTTGTCGCCATGGCCGTTGTCCATAAAAGTCAAGAACACCTGTTTGTGTTTCTAAGGGATCAGGGTTGGGATACATTACAGAAGCCTGTAAATTTAAAACAAACTTAAATAAGACTTTATATAAACCATCATAAATCAACTCTTGTCTAATCTTTAACTAATACAAACATCAAACACACATTCAATATCATAGCTGACTATCAACATGAAGTACATTAAAAAAATTAAACTAAAAATGTTTTATTTAATATTCAGAAAATATTTTTATTGTATTTTTTTTTTTGGCGGTAGTAGGGTTTAAACTCAGTGCCTCATGCTTGCTAGGCAGGTGCTCTACCACTTGAGCCACTCCATCAGCTCAGTATTTAGAAAATTTTATAAAAACTGAATAAATCCATCTAATTCTGACAAATGACTTCACAGTGACAACTAATTTCTTTACATTTTTCCTTTATTTTTTGCTATAATAAACCAGTAAAAATATATTACAAATGGTGTTTGATATTCCATATAGATAAATGCTCTCTACATAAACAAAAAACAATGTTATAAGGAGTTTTAAAGAGAAGACTCTATTTTTCCTTGTTATCACTTCTATCCTGGTATTGGTGGAAGGGGGTATTTAGGGAACCAGAGTTGACATTCTTACACTGCTTTATTTTTCTTCTTTATAATTTTTTTCCCTCTGAAACCAAAATGCAAATACAAGTACACTGTTTAAGAACGTACAAAATAACCAAAAGGAAAATTTAAATTACTTTTAAGCCTACTACTATTTCATATATATGCATTACTGTTTCATACCTTTATGAAAAATTTAATTGTTACCAACTGGAAGACTGAAGTGTGGCTCAAGCGGTTGAGTGCCTGCTTTGCAAGCGTGAAGCCTTGAGTTCAAACTGCTCATCAAAAAAAGACTTCCAATTGAAATACTTTTCCAACTGTTTTTTTCTATTTAAATATATTCTGTACATTTCACCATATCATTAGTCTTCTAAGCATTATTTTTCATGTGTGACAAGTGCTCCATATTTTAACAAATTCCCTATAGTTGTTCATCTTATTTCTATTTTACTTTATAATCAATAATCTGTTAGAGAACTTCATAAATCAATCTTGGTACTTAGCTCTTAAGATCTATTACCTGCCTGAGCATTTCTGAAAATGAAACTTTGGGTGAATGGACATGCTTAGTTTTAAAGCTGTTCAAATTAATTTTGACAGAAGTATTATTTTACACTCCAATGAAAGTTATCTATTAATAGTTCCAATAGTTTCAATCATCTTCTAAAATACTGCATTCAAATTATGTCAAGGTTTTAAAACATAATACGTGAAATAAGTTATAAATCATATAAACAGAAAAACTGCTCAAAAATAGAACATTCAACTAAAATCGAAGTCATATTGCCTAAAGCTATGAAAGATAAAAGTATTATATTCAAAGACTTGGTAAAAAATGATCAGTAGCAGACAGTACTAGCTTCTTTCTAGAGAGGATTAACCAGTTTCCCAAATGCTAACATATGAGCAGTTGGGACTCACCTCATGGCTGCAAAGGGCTTTTGCCTGCTGCTTCCGCTCCTGGGCATAGTGTGCTGCCTGCTGGTAGTAGAAACCAGGGTTCTGAGTCTGAATAGCTGTCAGCCCTAACTTAATCGCTTCATCAAATAAATCTCCAAAGACTTGGAATCTTAAAGAAAAAAAAAAATCAAGAAATAGAAAACAATGAAAAGAAAAGCAGTTTACTTTGAGTAATTATTATTCTGGGAACCATAACCTTAGCATATTGTATTAAAAATAATGCTGCTGATTAACAGTTACTATTTGGCATAATCTCTTTGCAAATACTAATACACACTAATTGTATGGTACAAATCTATTCTACATTTAAACCATCTCTTCTGTGCTAACAAGTCTATAAATAAGCCATCAAACCAGATATCGACATAGTTCTCACCACTCAAATAAATACATCTAAGTATTTCATTTTAGCAACTTTTAAACATCCGTCTCAAGCAGTTACACATCAGCAGGAGTTTGTTCCATTCACTCCTATGCTCTCAGGATGTAGATGTACAGTGGAAACTCAGCGATACGTATTGAATGAAAAAGATGGTACAGCTGGTAAAGTCGTTCAAGTGGTAGAGCATATGCCTGGCAAGTGTGAGGTACTAAATTCAAACCCCAGTAAAAAAAAAAGGTACTGTAAATTAACTGACTTCTATTAACAAATTGTCCCACTCAATATATACTATTTCTGGAAACATTAACATTACATTACTTAAAAACCTGCTTGCTGGGGGAAAAGAAAACAAACCTAGTTCACTTTAAACCAAAGTGTACACAAAATTCCATTTCTTTACATCCTGTGTCTTATTTTTTAAAATGTTTGGAAAGCACAATTTAAAACATACTGCTTAGCCATCCATGCAGCATGCTCAAAAGACAACTCCGTGCTTCCAAGTTTTTTCTTATATAAGTCAATGTGTTTTCGAAACTGAGCAATTGCATCCAATGGGGTGTTGTGCTGAAAACACAGCCTACAGATCTGCAAAATATAAAAACAATAAAGGGGGGAAGTCAAAGGCACATTCATCTAAAAATACTTTTGAGGATAACTTTTACAAAGACTAGAATTCCCTTCTCTGAAGTTCTTTGCAATGGAATTGATTTTCTTCATCAAAATGGGTTTGCCAAAACCAGAGATTACATCCCTTTGAAAAATGGAATAAAATACATTCAATACTTATTCTATATCTTAAAAAAGCTTTTATAAGAAAAGAATTTAAAAATTTATACCCAATGAAAAACATAAATATAGACTACAATAGAACATTTCTAATAAGAAATTGAGAAAGGACAGACTGACTTCCTGTGTTCGAGTTGTCAAAAAGCTAAACATTTTCTGCAGTGCTATCAAAATGCATTACCTCCACTTCTAACACAGATTACATGAGTTTTCAACAACTTTTGTGTGGAATGCTATTTCAAAGCAGTATTAATTAACATGTATTTGGGGCAAATGGAATAACAAAGGAAATAAAGCCTAAATTTATTTCCAAATGCTTATTATAATTTTCAGTTTTCTTTTTTGGGTACAAAGGAATCCATGCAAAGGAGCCTCCTGTCTATCCCTGTCCTGTTCCCCAGAGGCCATCACTTTCTGGAATATGCCAGATAATCTACACATAGACAAATCCGTGTGTCTGTTTATACACATAAACTAGTATACCAAGCAGCATCATGCTAAATAAGCTGAGTTCACCTAACGAGGTCCTGGATATTATTCCACATCAATCTATAGCACTGCCACATTCTTAATAGCTGTATGATGTTCCAATGTTTAGTCCTAATTTATACAACCAATCAGATTTTGCTGCTTCACTCCTAATCCTTTCCTATAAGAAGATGACTAAGTACTGACATGCCCTTGTTAGCAAGTATGTCACGTTTCCTGCAGGAGAACTTCTAAGTCCAAGAGAACATCCACTCTAATCGCAGTCACTGCAAATACACTCTCTGCAGTCACAGCACCAATTTACACTTACACCAAACTAGAGCATTTGCTCACACATCACTAACCCAGCATCAGACACCTTTCAAAGATGAGTGTGGGGCTGGGACAAGGCTTAAGTACTACAGTGCTTGTTCAGTAAGCATATGCCCTGAGGCCATTACTGAAAACAAAAACAAAAATAATTGACTGTGGAAAAATGTAAAGCAAACAACCTTCATTTGCCCACCAAGGAAATCTATTTCTACAGCATACAATCTATAGTTATAAAAGTTCCTCTAAAGTAAATAGAGCCAGAAGTGGTGATGTACACCTATAACCCCAGCTACTCAAAAGGATGATGCAAAAGGATCACTTGAGTTCATGAGTTAGAGACCAACCTGAGTAGCACAGTGAGACCCAATCTCAAGACAAGGAAACCAAAAAACCCCTAGAGGTGAATGGTGCCACTATGTTGCATCTCTTAAAATGCAATCACACAGGAAGCTTTCTTCTCTCTACCTCCTGCTCCAACTCAAAAACAAATAAACCCCAAAAAATTCCCCTAACAATCAACAACCAGGACCAACAAACTCAAAATCCAAACATTATTATTAGACTGCTAAGAAGCCCTTCTTCAGTAAACCAATTTGCAGAGAAAGAAACTAATTTTGATTTAAAAATTTTAAAAGGTAACAATATTTAAAGACAAATTTCTTCATATGAAAGTAGAACTATTACCTTGTAGTTTATAAATCCTGCCATAGTCTTAATTTCCAGAATATTAGTTTCATGGGTTCTCAATTCATGTACAAGATTATAGGCAGTCCTGTAATTCCTAACATAAACATGGAGGGTGGTTAAGATAAAAGTGAATTTTAAGAAAATATTCCTAAGAACAAAGTGGTTATAAACAACAGACAATAATTGTTCAACATTTCTTAGCACTAAGCAGCTCAATAACTGCTTATACATAGCAATCTCCAAGGTCCTGAAAACTTATTTACTGATTACTAATATACCTAAGAGGAATCAATGACTTTTCACAAAGAACAGAACCATCTCATGTGCATTGTTCTTTCTGTCATTAACATCTGTCAATAACCAATTAAAAAACAGGTTTTAAAATGAAGGCAAGCTGGGTGCCAGTGGCCCAGGCCTGTAATTCTAGCAACTTGGGAGGTTGAGATTGGGAGGATCGCAGTTCAAGGCCAGCGCAAGCAAACAGTTTGCAAGACCCCATCCCCAAAATAACCAGAGCAAAATGAACTGGCGGTGTGGCTCAAGCATTAGAGTGCCTGCTTTGCCAGTGTGAAGCCCTGAGTTCAAACTCCAGTTCCACCGAAAAAAAAAGGTAAACTGGACAGTTATCTACCAATTACATTGAAAAATGAGCATTAAAAATATTTTTTAAAGTACCATTATGAGCTTCTAGACAAAACCATGATTAGTAAAGGTGCTATCAAGACAGACACTTTTTAATCTCAGCTACCACTGATCTCAGGCTACAGTGGAAGGGAAATATCATAGGGTGGCCAGTGAGGAGGAGCCCTGTGGGAAGAGGCACCTAACCAAGAAGGTAAGGGAGAACCCCAAAACAGGCTTCTCTACAGGAAAAAGTATACATTCTTTTCAGTATAATTTCTCAATAGACCTGAAATTTAAGGTTTTTAACTAATGTCATCCATAAAAATGAACTACATTTAAGTTCAATTATTATTTTTATTCTGTTTTTCTCTACCTCCTTAATTACAGGATAAGTATCTTTTTTAAATACATCCTTTTAAAACTCTGATTGTCAATTTAAAAAGCTGCATGAAGGCAATAGACATTGTGTTTTATTAAACTGTGGTTGGTAAAAACAAAGTAATAAAATATTTAATCACTGCCAACACATGTGCAACGAATCCAAGGCTCTCAGCAGAGCCTTCAGATGGAAAGTGATATGAAAAACAAGCATTCCAAACTCAAGAAAAAAGAAAACTGAAGATTCTACAGAATATACAAAGAAGAAATAGCCAGGAAGACAGGGAAAAATCTAATGTTATATTAGTTTAGATCATGAAATTTAATCGAATTAGACTAAAGAGCTTTATGATACTAAAACTTATTTCCGATAATAGAATGGAAATTCTCTTTAAATCCCAAAATATTATATTCCATTCACTTCTACACAAACTAAATATTAAGTACTTGAAATTAACCAACATAAACATTTTAAAATTCATTAAAGTTTGGCTCTAGCTGGGTGCCAATGGTTCACACCTATAATCCTAGCTACTTGGGAGGCAGAGATCAGGAGGATCACAATTCAAAGTCAGTCTAGGCAAACAGAGTTCAAACCCCAGAACTGCAAAACTAAATAAATAAATAAATAAATAAAGTTTGGCTGAGACTTAGAAATTGCCATTAGTATCTTATCATTAAGACACAGATAAGAAAAATTTAGTTTGTAAACTGTTAAAACTTACTTCAGAGCATTTTGTGTATCTTGTTTCAATTCACTGAAGAAAGCTATTTTGAACTGATGTCTAACAAATAAAAGCTGAAAAAAAGGACAGAGAATCACTATTATATATGTATTTTTAAGTGTTAAAATGACATTATAGTATGAAGGAAAATATTCAAAATTAAAATTCAATGATTATTCCAACAAAGAAGAACATAGTTAAAAAAGGATATAAAATCTTTGAGAACTTCTAAGGGTAAAGAGTTTAACAACAAACCTTAAGGGAAAAGAGTTTAAGTTCATTTTTAAACGCTTTAAAAAAATTTTAGAAGTACTCAAGTCATTTAAAATTACAAAGTATTAAAGCTATAGCAATCAACAGTGGACACTCTGCCCTAGAATGCCTCTGCTGTTTTAAGAAACGTACCTGGTGTGTTGTTTTATTCAAAAATTCCTTATGAGATTTCACTCTTCTGATTTCTGTGTAGTAATAAGTCTGTGCATGTTCATAAAAGGCATTTTCTAATCTGTTAAAAAAAATCCAACACTTAAATATTAAAGTCATTTAAACCAAACTCTTTTCAGGAATCATATTTATGAGACCTGAAGGTAAAATTCTAACGAAGATAATATCTACTTTCCCTCAGGATTTAGATAAAAAGCAAAGCAAGGTATAACCTGGATTTCTAAAGAACACCCCCAGCCATTTAAGATTATGTACTTATAACTAATAAAAACAACCTCCTCTGATTTCTAAAAATTAGGTAATCGCTAAGATTATCCTTATCCTACTAGTTTATAATTTTATAAAAATTCTGAAAAAAAAAGTTATTTACCACAGGATGGGGCTTAGAGCCTTCTTAAAAAATTATTTAAATTGATATATCAATATACAAAGAAAGAAGCAATAAAGAGACCAGAAACAGACAGTCATAAAAAAGAACATATGCTGATTACTGAAAGTTAAAAAAAAAAAAAAGTGTGTGTGTATATATATATATATATATATATATATATATATATATATATATAAAAATTTTTTTTTGAGATGGAGGCCTTACTATGTTGCCCAGACAGGCCCCTGAACTCCTGGGCTCATGCAATCCTCATTATCTCAGACTCTAGGGTAGCTGAGACTATAGGCATGTGCCACTGTGTCCAACTAAACACTTTCTAAAAAATGAGGTTGGCCTTGATGTATACATGGAAAAGTGTCAATGACACAATGGTAAGTGGAAGATCTTTGAGCATTATATTACATTTCTTCTTGTATGTCTATGTATGTGCATGTATTATAAAGACATATATGTATTAGTTTTTATACAAAAACATTTTTTGGAAGAAAACAAGAAATTATTGAGAGTAGTTGCCACAGAGAATTGGAGTGCTAAGGAGTTCAAAAAAGGGACTATTACTTTACTCCGTATCCTCTGTACCATTTGAATTCTTCCCTTTTGAACATGTTGCTTTTTAAAACTGCATAGCAAGCTAGGTATGGTGGTGCATACCCATAATCCCAGCATCAGGAAGGATCTTGAGTTTGAGGCCAACCTGGACTATACAGCAAGACCCTGCTTCAAGTAAACCAGATTAAAAAAAAAGTAACAGAAAATAAATAAAGTGTGTCTATGCTACCAACTTTTTAATTCCTAAGGAATAATCTAAAAAGAACTTTACTAGACATTTACTTACCTTATAATATAGCCTACAAGGTGATCAGTGTGGGGCAGCACAAACAAGGACTTTCCTGAGAGCTCACAGACATTACATAAAGCTGCAGCCCTTTCTGAAGCAATGACATCTTCTCCTGTGGACAAGCCCCAGAAAGACAAAGAGAAATATAATACATACTGTATTTTCTATATTAATATTTCCCCAAATCTGGAATTAGGATACAAAAAACAAACAACTCTTCACCATGTCACTGCAACTCCTGGGCTCCTTGAGAACCTGTCAGGAAAACATCGTGGAATTTCCTAGTGAGCCAGGATAGGTAGGCCAAGTAACACCAACAAATACATCAGATAGCTATTCCAAAAAATATAACTAAGGCCGTGCACAGTGGCTCACAGCTGTAATCCCCGCTATTTGGGAGGCAGAGATCATGAGGATCACAGTTGGAGGCCAGCACAAGCAAAAAGAGATGGGGGGCATGGTTCAGTGATATCAGTGATAGAGTGCTTACCTAGTAAGCCTGAGGCCTAGAGTTCAAACTCCAGTACCACCAGAAAAAAGCAGTAATTCATGAAGGAAGTTTCCAAAAACACTTGGCATGCTACAAGTTTCAACATAAAAACAAGAAAAATATTGACCTATGAAAATCTGGAAAAGGAGAAGTAAGTATTTAAAATGAAAACATTTTCCCAGAGAAAATTGTAATCCTATAGCATTTTTCTTTATGTAAGGAATAAAATTTTTTTACTAGAGCTCACGTAAGTAAATAACATTCTTAACCACTTTGATATTTGATTATAAGGAGGAGATAAGTGGAAGTGGAGGAGTAGGAATTAAGATTTACAACCTTTTTTGATTATCTTATAACAAATTGATTCATGCATCATGCATGCTTTTTAAAAGCATACTACAGTTTCAAAGCCAAATGCATAAAAGATTTATTTATTAAGAATTGATATTAAGAACTGGAGGCATAGAGCAATCAATTCATTAACTTGTAGATACCTGGAGGCAGAGGGGTCTTCTTTTGGATCAGAACCACTGCGACTTTTGTGTTTCTTCCTTGCAAACTTTGCCTGTCACAGAAAAATAACAATAAAATTAATTAAATTGTTTTAACTAAATTCATTCAAAGCTTTATATAAATACAAGCTTGATGATTCAACTGAAGATAAATTTCAACTAAAAAGATCAAAATCAGAGTAAATCTTTTCCTGCACATAAAGAACGTATATACCATAATAATTTCCATTTAAAAAGTACAATCTTACATACATCAATCTTCAAATCCTTACAAGAATCTGCAATAAAAGTAGAAGTTTAAGGACAGGGTAGGTGGCTTAAGTGGTAAAGCATCTGCCTAATAAATGTGAGGTCCTGAGTTCAAACCGCAGTATCATCAAAACAAAAGAAAGTAGAAGTTTAACATATACTTTTATGTAAAAATTATAGAATTATAATGCAGTGATATTAGGTCATCCAAAAGAATTGTCTTAAAACTGAATCGTAATAAAGGAAAAGTATCTAATAGGACCAAATGGCAAATTATCATCTCTAAAACAGATCATGAATGTAAGAAAAAAAATTGGAAATCCAAACCAACATGTCTTCTGAATTTCTTCACATACCCTGGTATTATATACACGTTATACTTTCACTTCTTATTAGGAGCTGAACAAGTTTCAATGTACGTTGTTGATCACCAAAGTGACCCCTGCAGTCTATCCAGTACTCAGTTCAACAAACTACCACAGCCAGCCTGATACATGGACGCATACCTGACGATCTCTACCCTGGTCGCACACTCAGACTGCTTTTCTTTCCACTGAGGCTCATCCCAGTCCAGTTCATAGAACACAACCACCAGGGCTGGTACCAGATTCAGATGCTTATTCATCCAGCCAGTCTTCAAGATCCCTTTAGGAATGTACCACTCGTATGACGTTCTCTGCAAACAGCAATGAAGTTAAAAAGTTATCTGAGAACAGGAGCAGCAGAAATCACCTACTGAGTGCCAGGCACATTAAATGCATTTATCTCATTCAGTATACACATCGGCCATTGTTAAGATGAGGAAATGTAGGCCTACTGAGACTAAATAAGACAGCAAGTGTTGTACATAGAATCTCAACGCTAGAAACAAGAATGAGCAAAGCCAGAGTTCCTAAGGATGCTGAGGATCTCAAAACACTATAAATAAGTACCCAGCTTTTTTCAAAGTAAATTCTACTTTCTAATCTTTCCCATTCCACTTTCTGTTGCAAAAGCTGCTCAAATAAAATACTGTCTAAAATCCAAGTTGTTTCATTTGTTTCAAAGACATATTGCCATAACTGCATTCTACCTTAGGTGTGGATGAAGTAAAAACTGAAAGACAATTCTTAACTAGAAACAAAACAGCAGTCACTTTGGTAGAAGTGCCAGGCAGTGGGAGAATACCGGAAATTTGCACTTCAGCCTTCAAGATCTCAGCTGAAGTTTCAAATTACTTCCAAATCACCTGTGCTGACTCAGACTACTCCAACTCCTGCTGGTTTAATGTTTGCTTCATGCAAGCAAACACAGGGACAGTAAGGAAGCCCAACACAAAATAAGCTGGGGACTCAGGAAAGAACTGGGTGTAGAAGTAAAAAGCATTCTGAACTGGAGAATTAAGGGAAGAGAAAGGGGGAGTTGTGCTGGGCCTTTCCTTGGCAAACACCATATTTAAAAAAAAAAATGCATGTTAAGTGTCAGGAACAGCAGTGCTATTACTTACATAATAACTATGAGTTTTTAGAGAGCTCAGTTTCCTGAGATGAGTATATGAAACTGAGACTCAAATATGAAAGCAAAATAACTAGCCAGTGACCATATCTTGATTTGGATCAGGAGACCACAGTTTACCTTCCCAGAGTTTAACCGAGAAGGCCTGGCATCTACACTTTTATAAAACACCCCAAGTGGCTGGATGCCAATGGCTTGCTTTGCAAGCATTAAGCCCTAAGTTCAAACCCCAGTCCCATCAAAACAAAACAAAAAGGCTGTTGAACAATGCGGGGGTAGGAGGGAAGAGGTAAAGGAGAGTAACAGAGGGAGTTGAATTGACTAAAGTACAGTATACTCACAGTGGGAATACATCAAGAAACCCCTTTGAACATTGACTTTGGAATTAATAATGAAAGACAGGACTGTAAAATAGGTACACTGTGTGGGGGCAGTATTTGTAGGAGAAGGGAGGTAAATGGAGGAGATAAGGTGAGAGAATATGGTTGATGGATTTCATATACATATATGCAATAGAGTAATGAAACCTCTTGCAATTGCCTGAAGTGAGGTAGGGAGGAGGTTGTGTAGGGGGGAAGATGATAGGGGCAATCTAACCAAAGTAAGCCTATTGGGAATTGTCACAATGAATCCCCGTGTACAATGAACATATACTAATAAAAATGAGAAAGAATTAAAAAAAACACCCCAGGAAAATGGTATCTATGATCTAGAGATCACTCTGTCCGAAACACTGTTGTACAGCAAATGCACACACACACACACACACACACACACAAGGTAGATTTATCTTGATTGATTTGTCGGCCAGGCCAAAACTCATTTACAAATTAATCAATATACTCAGTTGCTTAAAAGTAAATTTCACAAAATAATCACTCTCTCTATATATTTATGCATATATATGCAGTATATTATCACATATTTATTATTTTTCTAAGGCAAATTAGTCTCTAATGTCATTCACATTAAAAGTCAGTGTTGAACTCAACATTTTTCCTCATTCCACCTTGAGTAAACTGTTTTAGTTTATGTATACCTCCCCAAAGACAAGGGCAGTATCATTTTAAATTTGTATCACCAGCCTGTTGCATGGTTCTAATTACCTAACACAAAGCAAGCACTCAAAAAATATGTGTGAAATTGAACCAAATTACAAAGGCCATGTCTTCTATAATGATATTGGCAATGATGAATGGGAACTGTAAGACCTCCCTTTTAAAAGCACTTTGCTGCAACTGTGGTGACATGGTGTTTTATTTTCCCTTTAAAAAAACGGAGAGGGAAAGATGTAAGTTATAGGATAGAAAGCTTTTAAAAGTAATTATTTTGCATGAGGCTCTGAGTTCAAACCCCAGTACTGCCAAAAAACAAAGGAATTATTCCTCTAAGGCTTAAAAAATAACTGAATATTAAACATATGTGTAATATACTACAAAGTACGTGAAAATGCCTAAGGTTTCTTTTAAGTACCACTGTAACCATTGCCTTGATAAATTCAGGAGTTATGTAGCACACACAATAGGAACAAGAAAGATACACATATCACATAAACACACACAGGAAGAGAACCCATGCAATCTTAATGTCATTACCTTGGGTCTACATTTGGGGTATTCATGGTCACCTGGGAGCACCTTGAAAGAAATTGGTACCCGATCAGCTCTCCGATTGGCACAGAAAGCATCCCAGACTGCTCGATGGACAGCATTATATACTACGTCTAGTCCTGTAAGTGTAACAAAAGCCATAGGCCGACAACATAACTCCACAGGGAAGTCCCACTGTGTGGGACTCATGTTTAAGATGTCACGAAAAATCTGAAATACAAATGTTAATACATTCATAATTAATTTTTAAAAAACGACATTCATATCTAATACATGAATACTGATCATTTGAAAAAATTTAAAAAGGCAAAAGGCTTTGCATGTCTACAAATTGTCAAGCAAATAGAAGAGAGTAAGAGGGAAAAGTTTAATTCCTGAGTTGGACCTATTAAAATGATTAAACTACATTAGATTTTCTAAAAGAAATCTTTCACATTAAAACAAGTTGTAGACAACTTTTAGACCAATCAGTATTTTCAGTAATTTCTCAAAATGTATAATAAACTTTTTTATTAACAGACCAAGAAGGTAAGAAAGTGATCAAATTAAAATAGGTCTAAACTCAGCACTCAGGAGGCCAAATTTGAGGCCAGCCTTGGGCTACAGAGTGAGTTCAAGGCAGCCTGCAGTACACTGGGAGACACTGTCTCAAACAATAAAAATAATAAGGCTACATGGCCTATTTCCAACATAAGTAATAAAAGGAAATTGTTGACTTACATATATAAAAGGTACATCTTCCTCTAATTTCTTGTAACTGCCAACATCTAATTTCTCAATGCCTAGGATATTATTGAAATAACTTATTATAGTTAATGCTTATTAATTCATAATAGGACAAATATAAAGTGTACTATTTAAAGCAAAATCTGTAAAAGAAAAACTAATAATGAATGAAAACCCCTAGGAGAGTAGGTGTGTATTAGTTGAGCCTATAATAAATTTAAATATGCAGACTCAGAAAAGCAATGATATAAAATGTGTTTATCCTAAACAAAATTATACTTTAAAAAAATTCATTTCCAAAAAAGATTTGCCATGAACTTCTTTTAAGAAATGCTCTCAATTATACAGAACTCAAATATAATCTTTGTGAAAAATGAGGCATAGTATACCACAGGATCCCTAAAGTGTGAAGTATTTATAACTGAAATAACTTAGGAAAGAAAGACTGCTAGGCATCTCTTGCTTAAGTACTGAAGGAACAATGGATATTGAAAAATGACTTCAAAAGTTTGCCAGAAATGATGTCTACAACATAAATTTGTAGAATTGCTTACTTAAGATATTTTAGGATAGGATTAAGATATGAGGACAAAAAAAAAAAATACACCAGCTCTGTGGAATTCAGGATAAAAATACAAGAAAAAGAAATACTCTACTTCTAGGGAACTTAGGGATGAAAATAAAAACAAGGTGGTTAAAATCCAACATGGTACCTTTACCTAATACCAAAGAATCTAGACTAGTGTTCTAAAGGCTCATGTCTGGTAATAATCCCGAGGTTCAAAAGCAATAGGTGAGGTCTTTGAATATGGAGTAGAAATAGAGGAACTAGAAATGATTTACAAAGCTTTAAATCCAGGCTGCCCAAGAAGAATAAAATATGAGTCACATAATTTTAAATTTTCTGGCAGTTACATTAAAAACTAAAATACATGTAGAACTCATTTTTAATAATAGTCTAACCCAGTATGTCCAAAAATATTATCCAAACATTAATGTAAAAGTTAATGAAATATTTTCCTTTTCTGTAGTAAGTCTTCAAAATCTGGTGTGTGTCTAATACTTAAACACATCGCAGTTCCAACTAGCCTACGACTAGCACTCAACAGCCACAGTGAGGTACTAGCTGGACAGAGCAGTTCTAAATTATGGTAAATCTGTTCCAAAAACTACTGTATGAAAACTGTACCAGAAATTTCTGCCATGCTCTATGCTCACGTTTATTCTGAGGCAAAGGGATGGGACCAGAGAGACCACCAGTTAAGAGCAAGAGCAGATGGACTGACTCTAAATGACAGCCAAGGGAAGGAAAATTCCTGGCGTCTTAGAAGCCAGTAGAGCAACAAACCAAATTTGCAGAAGTAGAAAGCGAGCTCTCTGCATGGAAGACAACAGGAGGTGACCCAACCAAACTGGCAAATAAAAAACAACATGGTCGCTTTATTAACTGGAGGTTCGGGGTGCAGGGCAAAGGCTAGTAAGAATCCAGAGAAATCCAACTACAAAATGATCAAACGAAAAACGGCAGTTTGGGGCCGAAATGGTGAATGGGGAGAAAAAAAAAAAAAAAAAAAGCTGATGTCGAGAATGTGAAGCAAAAACCAACTTGGGAAAAAGACACGGTCCCCAATGTCTCAATGTTCTGCCCTGGTAGCTCCGATGAGAAAACAACCTTGCACCCTAAAGGTAGGCGAAATTCTCCTCCGGCTACTACCCAAGGCCACACCTGGAAGGCCCTGGAATTTTAAGTGCGCTTTTCTTTGGGGAAGAAGCGCCAGGATTGCAACCATTGACGCTTTAGAGAAAGCAAGCCCCTAAACTAGCACTGGCAAGGCCGAGTGCTCGCTTGGCCCCGCACATCTCCACACCCGGACTCACCCGGGCCGCACGCCCTGGGCCCGCTGCAGCTGTGGCCGGTCGCCGCCAGCGGGAGAGGATAAGGGGAAGGAGGCAAAAGTGTCCAGGAACGCAAGGGACCTTCCCTGCAGCCGCAACCTCAGAGCCGGCTCCACTAGGCGGGACTTCCCTTTCCCCGCCTCCACTGGCACAGGAAGCACTTTCTGGGCCTGAGTGACAGACCTCACCACCAATCGCAACCCCCGAACTTTACGCTGTTCCTCAGAACAAACGGAGGGTGATTCATTTCCTAAAGGAGGAAGAGCTGGGGGTGGAGACAGAAGAAGCCAATAGAAGACAGGATAAGAGGGAGGGGGCGGAGCTTCCGTCGTGACCGCCTTACAGCCACTCCCCACGCCCCGGCGCTTCACCTGTGGTGGCCTTGGGCTCCTGGCCCACAGCCCACTGCCGGCGCCTTGACTCTATATCCAGGGCAGGGGGCGCGCGTGAACTCGTGTCTACCGCTACTGCGAAGAGTGTGTCCCCGTCTCGGCAGCCGAGGCACAGAAGTGGGGCGCCCCAGCCTCGGGACCCCTGCCCTCTCTTTTAGTTGTCGCGAACGCCGTCTGCTCCGGAGGCGCCCTGCGCGATGAGTGCCAACGAGGACCAGGAGGTGAGACCCTCAGGCTGAGCCCTCTTTTCCCGCGGAGACCCCGAGCAGTAGGCCCCCGCACGCGTTCTTCGCCTTCGGAGCCCTCAGGTCCTGGCCGGGGTGCCCCACTTTTTCGGAGGCCCCGGAGGGGAGCCGGCGGGCATGGGTGGGGCAGGGGTCCGCCTCCCTCCCCCCGCGGCTTTGCTCATCTTTGCAAACACGGTCTTAACAAGATGAGTGTGCTTGTGCACGACCCTGGCGCGGTCGTCTGTCCTTAAATCCCTTGTGAACTGAGTTGTGCTGTCTTGGCATCTGACCACCTTTAAATTTTAAAAATGTGCTGTCAGGTACAGCTCATTGAGTTAGTTCAGTTTCTGGTGGAGGAAAATAGTGACAGCAGTGTCTCTGGTTTCTGTCCATATTTGGTAAAACCATTTATCCATCTGTTAGTTGTCCAGTGGATACAAAATCTGTCTTGAGCACACCTGGTGCCACCAGATTTGTATGGTTTAAGTTTAGATTTTTTTTTTTTTTTGCAACGTGTCAGTTGGACGTGGAATCATGTATTAGGATTGGAGAGAATGTCACAGGGGCGTGCTGTAGGGGAACCTTCTAACTCTGTAACGAGTCTGGATGAGGGAAGTGTCTAAAGCCACAGAGTGCCTGCACTGTGAGTTTGCAGTAGAATTAGGATTAGAACCTAAGTCTCTTTGAGGTGAGTAGTAGCTCACCGTATATTTAGAATCTGTTGCTTCAAAGTTAGCATTTTCACATGACAGAGGTAGTGGAGTCTCTGGATTGAAAGTTACCTGTAAGGACCCCAACAAGCTAGTTGACACCCGAATACCTTTCTAAGGTATTCTTCTCAGGTGAATGAAGCCAAGGCATTAAAGCTTCCCAGGGAGGATACAGGGGAGATGGGGAGGAGGAGAAATAGCCAATGGGTACAAAATTACAATTAGGAAGAGTAAGTTCCCATGTTCTGTTACACAATAGAGTGACCACAGTTAACAGTAGTGTAGTATGTACTTTAATATAGCTAGCAACGGATTTCAAATGGCCTTACAAAGAAATAGAAACGGTTTGAGGTGATATACTACTTATCTTAAACATTGTATAATATATACATGTATCAGAGTACCACATGATACCCAATAAGTATGTACAATTATTATGTCAATTTAAAAAAATAGTTCCTTCTCCCAGCAAAGCACAGAATATATAGTGTGATATTTCTCAAAGTTTAACCCATGAACCACCATGGGTGGCTGCTAAAAAGCAGGTGCATGTGTTTTAACTGTAATCCCATCTACTCAGGAGATGAAGATCCAGACCATCATGGTTCCAGGGCTGGCCCAGGCAAAAAAAAGTTAACAAGATTCCATCTCAACAAACAAATTGGGCATGGTGATTTACAACTGTAATCCAAGTTGTGCAAGAGGCCAAGACAGGATGATCCTGGTCTGAGGCAAAAACACAAGACCCTATCCTAAAAGTAACTAAAGCAAAAACAAAACAACCATACCCTTTTTTCCTAATGAAATGGTTCCTTTTAGCTTTTCTTCACACATCCAGTCTCCTTAGTTTCTTTACTATCCCAGAATCTAGTGTTTATAATGGATTCTAAGTTTACATATGTACCTTTTCTAAAACTATGGCCTCATGCTGTTTTCACAGTTTTCTGATTTACAGTCAACTAATGCCCTTTAAGTGCTTTATACAAAGCAAGTTGTCTTCATCCTCATACAAGTTCTACTTATCCTGTTTAATTTCATCATTAGCGTATCTTTCGGGTACTTTCTGGATTCTTATTCTTCCACCAGCGTATTCACTGTTTCATCAAATTATCATCCACAGATTTAATAAACCTGCCTTCTATTGTTGTTCCTCTCCAAGACGTTAATTAAAATATGAGAAATGATTAAGGACAGAAATAGAATTGCTATATTTTGAATAGCATTGTTTATCCCAGTCTTCTTACTTATTCTTGAATCCAGTTGGGATTCCTATTTTTTTCTGTAAAAGAAGCAAGAGAAACCCTGAGGTTTGCTGAAATGTACAATGAGTTTGGCCCCTTTCTCTAATGTGCCACTCTAGTTCCCCTGAGAAAGTTATGCAGCTACTTCTTGTTTTGCACATGCTTGTTAGGTCTTAGAGATTACTCCCTGCCCTCCCAGGTTATCATACACTGTTGCTTTAATAATTACTCTGTTCTAAAGTTTTGTCCATGTACATCAAGGTCACCATCTTTTGTTTGGAGCATTTTTGACATCAGTTCTTTTGAAAACTGAAACAAATGCAGTCGGTGTTTGTTTCTGTTCTCAGAGATTCTTCAGTAATCACATGAGTGATTGAGATTTCTCATTTGTAAGATCACAGTGTGCTAAGAAATATCGCAAGCCAGAATTATTAGCTGCATTTTCTCTCCCAACCTAATTATTTCCCATCTTGAGGAGATCCTGCCAACTTTTTCTTAAAGTTCCTTTTGTGGCTCTCAAGTGTTTTTTAAAGCTTTGTACCATTCTATAGAATGATTATAAATATAAATAAACATGTATAAAAAATGGGAGCTTATTGTGCTTCACATTTCTCAGTCTCCAAGTTTAGGGTTTTTCTACTCCAGACACCCACTCTTCAACAGAGTGATACTCTAAAGTTGCCTTTTTTTTTTTTTCAGGGTTTCATACATTTTATTTATATCAGTTTCACAACAGAAATCTTACTTCCATTCTGGTGGGGAAATAGAAACTCAGGGAACCAAGAAATAAGTAGGAAAGAGAAAAAATTCAAACTTTGCATTGATTGGCTGAGTGACCTGTCCCTCACCCAGTAAGCATCAATGCTGTAGGGTCCCAGAAGAATGGCTAAAACATAGCAGGCCTTGGCTGGAATTTATGTTGGTCTATACAGTAATTCACACCCTGTATTTAAACTTTATAGTCCTTCAGTAATTTTCATCTTTTCACTTTCCTATAGAAGGGAGATTTGAAATGGTCTATAAAACACACTCAGTATATTAAATTGGAATGATATTACTGTGCCCAGCCTAAAGTTAGAGAGTTCAGCCTCTTCTCACTTGTCAACTGATGGTTTTAGCACTTTGGGATTTTGGAGCACTGTGAGATAATTAAAATATCCATCATTCATCAAACAGGTAACATAAATGGAAAAGTCCAGAGACTTCTATAGCCACCAATTTTAAGGGAAAAATGTTTATTTAAAATACTTGTGTAGATAGTTCTGAAATATGATAAGGTTTTAGATAATCTTGGGCATAGTGGAATACCACAAAGTTGAAATGGAATAAGCATAATTTTATTTTTTAACTACTAACCAAGGAATGGGGGTGTGGCTCAGGTTGTAGAGCACCTGCTTAGCAAACACAAAGCCCTGAATTCAAATCTTAGTACTGAAAAAAAACCCTACTAACTAAACTTACAGTTTCATGACTTGAAAGGTAACATTTCAGTGATTTTTTGTTTGTTTGTTTTATTTTATTGTTTTATTATTCATATGTGCATACGAGGCTTGGGTCATTTCTCCCCCCTGCCCCCACTCCCTCCCTTACCACCCACTCTGCCCACTCCCTCTCCCCCCCATCCCCTCAATACCTGGCAGAAACTATTTTGCCCTTATCTAATTTTGCTGAAGAGAGAGTATAAACAATAATAGGAAGGAACAAGGGTTTTTGCTGGTTGAGATAAGGATAGCTATACAGGGAGTTGACACACATTGTTTTCCTGTGCGTGTGTGTTACCTTCTAGGTTAATTCTTTTTGATCTAACCTTTTCTCTAGTTCCTGGTCCCCTTTTCCTATTGGCCTTAGTTGCTTTTAAGGTATCTGCTTTAGTTTCTCTGCGTTAAGGGCAACAAATGCTAGCTAATTGTTTAGGTGTCTTACCTATAAAGTTGCCTTAAACTGTATCTTACTTTCCTCCATGGAAGGAAGGAGGAAATATGGAAATAGGATCTTCTTCACAGGATCCATGTGAGAATTAAGTGGGATTCAATGTAAAATGCTTAGCAGTGCCTGGTACATAGTGTTAAACTAAGTATTATTGGTATAATTGTCATGTGTCCACATCCATCATAAACATCTGAGGCCGTATAAGTTAGCCCAGTTCGGTGGGCTTGAATCAGAAACTAGACTCTTTCATATCTATTTATATCTCTAACCAAAACTCATTGAGTCTTTCCTTTCAGATGGAGCTAGAAGCATTACGTTCTATTTACGAAGGGGATGAAAGTTTCCGGGAATTAAGTCCAGTTTCATTTCAATATAGGGTAAGATATGGCATAAATAAGTACATTTATTGCTTTCCTAAAAAGAAAAATCTAAAGATTGCTAAAATGTTAATTTTATTTTTTTAAGTTATTGGTTTAAATTTATTTTATCATTCTATTTTCTCAAACACCACAATGACATTAATCATATTTTAGCATTTGAAAACTTAATTCAGATCCTTTTTTAAAAACAAAGGTAATGTGTGTGTGTGTGTGTATGTGTGTGTGTGTGTGTGTGTGTGTGTGTGTGCGTGCGCGTGCGCTTTTTTTTTTTTTTAAATTGTACTCAGGGCCCTAGAGCCACACCTAGCCTTTTTGGTTTTAGTTTATTTTTCAAATAGTTTCTCACCTTGAACTTCGATTCTCCTACCACCATCTCTCAGGTAGTTGGGATTCTATATAGACATATACTACCACGCATGGTTTGATTTTTGAGATATAGTGTCAACTGACTTTTTTTTGCCTTAGGCTCAAGCACAGTCTTTCCATCTCTGCCTCCTGCATAGCTGGGGTTACAGGCATGTACCACCAGACCTGCCTTACTTTTACCTTAAAGATGACTTTTCTCAGTCATAGCTTCTTAAGCTCCCACAGCTGATATTGATAAATATTAGGATTAAAATCAGGTATGTATCCCAAGTCTAGTATTCTTTTTATTACCTTGTAGTATAGTCAAGAGAAGTTGATATTTTCTTAATTCTGTGTTCCAAACACATGTGGCTTTTAAAACATGGTTTTTTTCTTTAAATGTGGGAGTTTCTTGTAAGTATATATCTTCAACATATAATAATACTAGTATTTTATTTTGCAGAAAAATTAGATAGCTAGCTAGCTAGCTAGATAGATCATTTCTCCAAATAAGTAGTAGTGGAATGGAAAATGTTATTACAAAAGACTTACTGTTATTATGAACATTGTTACCATTTAAAATAAATTGTATGAAAAAGTAATCCTTATACATGATTTTATTGTAGACTGTAACAAGAAATAAACTCTTTTTCTTTTTCTTGAAGACAGTATCTTGCTATATAGCCCACGCTGGCCTTGAACTCTCAATCTTCCTGCCTCAACTTCCTGAGTGCTAGGACTGCAGGTGTGCACTCTCCCACACCCAGCTAGGAAATAAATTTGTTTTTTCTTTTCTTTCTTTCTTTCTTTTTTTTTTTTCCCCTTTGGAGCTACTTGGACTTGAATTCAGCACCTTGAGCTTGCTTGGCAGGCACTTTACCACTTGAGCCATTCCACCAGCCCCAAGGAAATAGATTCTTTATACCTACTTCCTTTGGATACTCCCCTTCCTGCTCTGCAATTCTCTATTCCCCTTCAAACTCAATAGTCTTCACACCATCTCCATCAATATAACAACCAGGGGACTTGTAATGACAAAGATCATGATGGAGTTAAGTCTTAGTCCCTTCTGTTTGAATCCAGCTGCTTTCCCAAACTTTCCCAACCACTGCTATCCTCTCCTTAGCAAGTAAGAGATTGGAATTTTCCTATACTTCCCTAAACATGTCCATTAACAACATTAGTTATGTATTGAGCATAGAATGCAGAATGCTCCAGGATGTGTGTGCACTATAGAGTAGACTTAAGAGGGATGAAACATGAGATTGGAGCTAGTGTGTTGACAGGGGAAGAGCGTTCTACCTGTGTCAGGCCCTTGTTTCTTTTTTTTGGTGGTGGAGGGGGTTGAGACAGGATCTCCATATGTAACCCAGGTTGACCTCAAACTCAAAGTCACCATTGTCTGCCTCATTTTCCCTAGTCTGGGAGTATGGGTTTGCACCACCATGCCTGGCCTAGGCCCTCATTTCTTGTACAGAATGGTTTATAAGGCTCCTAAATGAGTTCCTTGCTTTCAGTTCTTTCTTCACCTTCCGCCTTTGCATGCCACCATCAGTCCTCCAACAGACTGCTACTTAGCTCTCTGAAATACTTACGTAGTCTACCATTCCCTTGTTTAAAAAATTTCTCCATGGGTTTCTCTTGCTTACAGAATGAGAGTTGTATTCCTTAGTTTGCCACTTAGCATCCTGTTTGTTTTAAACTGCCTCTCCAAACTTCCCCAGCCAAACGTCAGGTAGACATAATGAATTCTTAAGTATTTTCCTGTATTATTTTGGTTTTTCTTAAATATTATGTCTTTGGGCACACTGATTGCTCTTTCTTTCACTTTTCATCCATTATTCATCTGGCTTTCCCTTTAAGGCCTAACTCACACCTCTTCTGTGATATATTTGGCCCATTTCTCCTACCTCTGCCCTGACTTTGAAGACTTTGTTCTTTCACTTTTAAGCTACTATTCATACTGCAGTTTAGTGAGTTATCTAAATGTCTAGTCTCTTTTGAAGACAGGAATGATTTTGCCTTTATCTTTGTATCTTCAGCACCTATCACGATGTGAAACATGGCAATTTGTTTTTAAACGCATCTTGAATAAGCGCTCATGACTGCATAAAGCAAGTACCTTCATCACTTTTAGTTGTCTCTGTATTCAAGCATACACGGATAACATTCATTACGCACATAATCAACTTACACAGGTATACCAACAGATCCCTAAATTTATTTGGTGTGATTTCTCAATCTTATCTTATATATCTGTATGGAATATGATTGATGGTAAGGGAAAGAAGATGAAAAACAGAAAATAAGGTTAAATCAGATAGTAATTTAAGGTAAAAATTTTTAAATCTTACTGCTGTTGGTTAAAATAAATATTTTTAAAATAAGTGTATAAAATACAGAGGAAATAATGCTGATTCATGGACTAGTTCATGTTTTAGTAGGAAATCACCATTTTGCAGCCACTAATGCAATGGTTGATTCAGACCAGCAGTATTACTGGATACTAAAATCTTTGGGTAAAAGGTTGTTGAGAAACAGGGAATCCACATAATTTATAGCATTACTTCTTAGTTGCAAAAAGAAAAGGTACTTTTACGTTGGAGAGGTCTGAACAAAATATCGCCTTACTAAGTAACCAAACTTAGTATCACCAATGATGCTTCCAGAAGAGTTTATTTGCCTCCTTTATGGTGCAGTGAGAACATACCACTTTACCTGTATGGTATCCATACCAAAAATGTTCAGCTTCAACCTGAACAGAGGAATGTTATATGAGAAAATCGGCTTGGATTATTGTCGTAAAATACATAAAAAGCAGGAGAGGGGGCTAGGAACTGTTCTGTATCAAGTAAGAATAAAGAGACATGACAACCAAAAGCAATCCATGGTCCTTCAATGGATTTTAGATTTGTAGATTAGGGGTGATGTCTATTAAGGGATATTTAATGGAGTTTGGAATTTTTAATATGAATTACATATTATATTTTTACATCAATGTTGTATTCTTGAGTGTGACAGTAGCCTTGTGGTTACAGAAGAGACTGTCCTGAGGATACTTTGCTCATAGATATCTGAAGGTACTTCATTACTTTAAAATGGTTCATCAAAAAACAAAGAGGGGGCAAAAAAAAACACACAGTTGGGAAGTGAGTGTTGGTTCTATGGGGGAAAGGAAGAAATAAATGGGCAAAAATACTTAGTAAATATATATCAACATTCACTATTTTCAGTCTTTCTTTAAGGTTAAAAATGTTTTAAATAGCGGGTGCCAGTGGCTCACAGTTGTAATCCTAGTGATTTAGGAGGTTGAGATTGGGAGGATCACAATTCGAGGCCAGCCCAAACAAATACTTCAAGAGATCCCCATCTCCAAAATAATATGAGTAAAATGGATTAGAGGTGTGGCTCAAGTGGTCAAGTGCCTGCTTTGTAAACCCCAGTCCACCAAAAAAGAAAAAAAAAACACTTAAATAAGAAGTTGGGGAGCAAAAGAAATAAAAAACATTCTTAAATTATTTTGACGTTGCTGCTTAACCCAAAGCATTCCTTTTCCTTATCTTTTGCCTTTTTCTTTCCTTTCAATTTTACACTTCATTTTCTGATCTCTCGGGATTGTGCCAATACATACAGATTTACTTGTTCTTGGTGCCTATTATGATTTAGCAGTTGGAAAACTTAAAGATGAAATGTTTCAAGTTTGTAAGTTATCATTTTTGTCCCTTCTCTTCTCCTTTCCCCCAAGTTGATGTCTTCATCTTTATCCTCAGAAAACTTTGTATAAAATGTACTCTTTGTACTAGAAAAGCTAGTTAGCTGATTGAGCAACAGACCATGGGCATAAACTAAACCTGTTAAGGCAGACCAGGGCTAAATTAAAATTCAGACTGTATTTTCTGGACCCCAGCTCAGTCTTAGCTTTTAACCCTGAACTTTCCAAAATATTATACTTCTGATTTGCACATGAGTATTGGAAAGAATTAATCATTTTAAAGATCATAATTTAGTACTTTGTCTCTTTTAACACTTTTCACAAGCCTAAGATTTCCCTTTTCTTCAGATAGGTGAAAATGGCGATCCCAAGGCCTTCTTAATAGAGATTTCCTGGACAGAAACATACCCCCAAACACCTCCAATTATATCTATGAATGCTTTTTTTAACAACACAATGTAAGTAGCTTTGTTTTCATTGTTTTTTCATTTTATTCCCTATTTTACTTTACTCTTGACAACATGTTTGTTCTGTATTGCAGATCATCAGCTGTAAAGCAGAGTATACTAGCCAAGTTACAGGAAGCAGTGGAGGTTAACCTTGGCACTGCTATGACCTATACATTGTTTGAATATGCCAAGGACAATAAAGAGCAGTTCATGGAGAATCACCATCCCATTAATTCTACAGTGAGTATATAACTGTTTCTTTCCAGATTTTGTTGTTGTGTTGGTTTTGGTCTCCTTGAGATGAATTTTTGCTAGATAATATTTTGGCAAATTTGAAGGAGACTGTGAGATTTAAAATGAAAGTTACATCTGACTTAAGTAAGAATAATGAATTTTAGATTTCTTCTACTTAACTTAGAAAATGAAATTATTCTTTTACCTGTCATTAAAACTAAAATACTTATTATGCCCATCAAAACTGAGTTACTGAAGTCAAGCATGGTGGCATACCCCTATACTCATAGCACTTAGGAAGCTGAGGCAGGAGCATCATGAGTTCAAGGCCAAACTGGGCTACATAGTATGTTCTAGACCAGGCTGGATTATATACCAAGACCGTATCTCAAAAAGAAAACAAATAAAACAGGTACTGTAGAACCTAGCATTTAAAAAAATTTATTAATCTCTTTATAAAGCTTAGATAATTAAAGAATATATGTAGTATTAAAATATGTATGAAATTTCTTTCTCCATGAGCTTATTATGCTGTAAATAGTTGAAGCAATCATCTTTATGACTTCAAACATCTAACATAGGTCCTTTTTACACCAAGGGCTCATTGTTAATTGAGTTTTGTCTTGTGAACCAAACTAGAAGCTTTCTAGCAGCAAAGGCTGTCTTCTGCTTAAGTGGTTCTGGCTTCCATGACCTCAGCAGAAGTCAGAGAAGCAAATGGAGAAGCAGTAGATGGAGGTAGCAAAGACCATGAGCTGAGGGCCAGCCTTCCTGGGTTCAGATCCCCACTGCACCACTTATTAACTCTGTGACTTTGGGCAAGTTTCCTAAATGTCTCTGTGCTCAGTTTCTCATCTGTATCCTAGGGGTTATAGAGTATCTACTTACAAAATTGTTGTAAGGATCCAGTGAGTGGTATATGGAAAACATTTGCAGTAATGCTTGTCACCTGGTAAGCACTTTAATTTTAGCTATCATAAACACTGACAACACCAACCCAAATGTGTGAAAGATTTCTTCAGGAAATCAGAACGTTCTAGGTAGATGTGGGTTTTTTTTAAAGATATGTTTAAATTTACAAGCAAGCTAACTGAATTCTAAAACTATCTTGGAACCTCAGATTTTCAACATAATATATGATTATCAGATCTTTTCAGGGTTCTGGTTTTAACTGTTGCACTAACCTGTGTCTTTTGATGTGATTGTGATCTTTTGAAGGCACAAAACCAATAATGTGTTAAGGGCACCTGATTTAGTATGTGAACAATACAAGTGGCATTCTTTTATAGGTCCAGAAATTACTGACTCATTTCAGGATGTAGTTGTATATAGTGTAACTCAGTAAGTTTTAAGACATGAGTCTGAGAGCCATTCTTGTTTTTTAGACATCCATAAGCAATATCATCTCAGCTGAAACTCCTAATATAGCCCCATCAAGTAAGAAAAAAGATAAAAAAGAACAACTCTCAAAAGCCCAGAAACGTAAGCTGGCAGATAAAACAGGTTTGTGTTATTTCTTGTCTTTTATTGCGTAGAGAAATGGATATCTTTTTGTTGTGTCATGGTGCTTAATATATGTAGATTTAGAAGATCCACTTTTGGATCAGAGATCTCTTGGGTCACAGTACAAGAATACTGTATATATTTGTAAATATTGACTACAATATCAGCATAAGAGATAGCATTTGAAAAGAAGGTAACTAAGTCTCAAAGTAACCAGAACTGAGTCTTGAAATGGGAACACTACAACAATATACAAAGCATGTGTCCTATTTGTATGCTGTAACATGTTTGGGATTTAGTTATTCATTTACCTCTATGGGAACTTCACTTTCATTTGAAATAAAAAGTCTAGAACACCATTAGGTCTTAGCACAGTAAATAATTTAGTATTTTTTGTCTATACTTATTTTTACAACAGTAAGAATTAAGAATAGAATTTCCATGTGCCATAAATCAGAGTCCTTTAGAAAAGGATTATGGTATCAGTCCGTAAGTTTTTCCAAATTAGGGAAAGTGAGGCCATTATCATGTGTATACAACACATATTTACTTAAATATGTGTGCATCTGTTCTGGTGTAAGGTTACAAACTGCCCTCTACTGAGAACTGAACCTTTAATTTTGGTGAGGGAGGGTTTAAATGCCATTTCTTTTGTAAAAGGATAGTAGGGTTGATGGTTTAGATTTTGTTTGATGTTTGTCTGTGGAAGAATAAAGAGAAGCAACCCTGTGTTAGCCCCCAAAATACATTTTTGAAATTGTAATGATTCATGAAATAAAAATCACATGTCAAAGCATCATCATTGTATAAACAACTAAAGTAATAAATTATTAGCTATTATAGTTGGTTTTTTAGACAAAATTTTGGTTACTCTCTTGTGGAATGTTTTAGTATCTGTCAGTTGCTATTTATTGCTTTCATGCATAAAGACCTGTGATCATTTCCTGTCATTAATGTCTTCCTGCCTTCATTTCTTTGATGTGCCCAGCTAGTCATTATCTTCCTGTAATAGAGAATTCAAGTTTGTGACTTGGAGCTTTCATTCTAAATAAAACTTTTAATAAGAGAGCCACGGCACTGTGGGTAAGCTTTAGTTAACCAGAATTGGTGATCTGCCACTGTGCCCCTCATAACCAGTAACTTAGCAATGGGGTAGGATCCTGATTGGTATGAAAGATAAAAGAACGATTAGCATTTAAAACTGATGTCTAGTAATATTCTTTCTCTCCTATAAGAATCATGGAGTTGGTTTCTGTATTTCCTTTGTATAAAATTAATACGGATTGAATATCCTTTATCCAAAATGGTTGGTATCAGAAGTATTCAGATTTCAGTGTTTTTCAGATTTGGGAATATTTGCAGTTACCAGTTGAGCAATCCTAATCTGAAAATTCAAACTTCAAAATACTCCAGAATCCAAAATGAGATTCTGGATGAGTTTGGAGCATTTTGGGTTTTGGATTTTTGGATTAGAAATGCTCAGTCTATGTAATATGCTTGTTTTAAATGCAGATTTGATGGCTTCATAAGATGAGACATATAGCATAGATGAAGCATAAAGAAAATCAAGCCATTTGAAACAATTTTAAAATAGTATTTGTTAAACTGTCCTTTAAATTTTAAAACTCTATGAAAAGAAAGCAATCTGTAGACTATAAGTTCTTATGGCTTTATTTTCAAGCATTACTCAGTAGAGTAAAGCTATTTTTAAGAATATTAGATTAAATAATGAATATTTTATCAGAGCACAATTAATATGTAAGTTAACTAGGCTTCTTTTAGACTTGAAGCCAAACATTGGTTTATGAGGCCTCCTGTGTTGAACCTAACTTCCTGATGTGAAATGCTGTCTTGTAAAACAGTGAGTGAACTAAAACAACTTAAAAAAGTAAGTAGTGACCTAATATAAGGCAGAGTTGGGCAAATGCATTAACATAATAAATTGATCCTATCCCACTTGCATATTTTTTCTTTAATAAGAGGTTTTGTCTTGAATGGAAATCAAGTAGATGTAAAAGGAGGATATACCTCCATATGTTGCAAGTATTCCCAGAACAGTGCTGTCAATTTACAAAGGTGATAAACTGTTTTACCACGTTAGTAGTATGTGATTTAAACTTTGAATATCTTTGTCGTACATATAAAATCTTATTTGCTTGAACACTAACTAATTCAAAAATAGCTTATCAGTCTTAGAAGTAAAGTTACTATGTTTTTTTCTCCAGATCATAAAGGGGAACTTCCTCGAGGCTGGAACTGGGTTGATGTTGTGAAGGTATATAATATTTACATTTTAGACTTAAAATTGTTTTGTAAGTTTTGCTGTCAAATAATAAAATTTGTGTTTTCCTTTTTCTTCCCTGCAACCTATGGAATTCTTTGGGATATTGTTTACTTTTTCATATTTAGCATGTAAGTATTTTTTAATTCCTTCACATTTGTTGCTTCCTAACACCCTCAATCTTAGATTTCTTTTCTTAAATAAAGGAAAATCTGTATACCTGAGTTATAATTACAATAAAGTGTGACTGTTTATCTAGGCATATCTCATGGATGGCTGTGCTTAAATATGACTCTAAATTCTGGATAATATGGAACCTGAAGAAACCCCATCAATGGGAAGGAATGCTTTAATTTTTTTTTTTTCTTTTATTATTCATATGTGCATACAAGGCTTGGTTCATTTCTCCCCCCTGCCCCCACCCCCTCCCTTACCACCCACTCCACCCCCTCCCGCTCCCCCCCCCTCAATACCCAGCAGAAACTATTTTCCCCTTATCTCTAATTTTGTTGTAGAGACAGTATAAGCATTAATAGGAAGGAACAAGGGGTTTTGCTGGTTGAGATAAGGATAGCTATACAGGGCATTGACTCACATTGATTTCCTGTGCGTGGGTGTTACCTTCTAGGTTAATTCTTTTTGATCTAACCTTTTCTCTAGTACCTGTTCCCCTTTTCCTATTGGCCTCAGTTGCTTTAAGGTATCTGCTTTAGTTTCTCTGCATTAAGGGCAACAAATGCTAGCTAGTTTTTTAGGTGTCTTACCTATCCTCACCCCTCCCTTGTGTGCTCTCGCTTTTATCATGTGCTCATAGTCCAATCCACTTGTTGTGTTTGCCCTTGATCTAATGTCCACATATGAGGGAGAACATACGATTTTTGGTCTTTTGGCCAGGCTAACCTCACTCAGAATGATGTTCTCCAATTCCATCCATTTACCAGCGAATGATAACATTTCGTTCTTCTTCATGGCTGCATAAAATTCCATTGTGTATAGATACCACATTTTCTTAATCCATTCGTCAGTGTGGGGCATCTTGGCTGTTTCCATAACTTGGCTATTGTGAATAGTGCCGCAATAAACATGGTGTGCAGGTGCCTCTGGAGTAACAGTCTTTTGGGTATATCCCAAGAGTGGTATTGCTGGATCAAATGGTAGATCGATGTCCAGCTTTTTAAGTAGCCTCCAAATTTTTTTCCAGAGTGGTTGTACTAGTTTACATTCCCACCAACAGTGTAAGAGGGTTCCTTTTTCCCCGCATCCTCGCCAACACCTGTTGTTGGTGGTGTTGCTGATGATGGCTATTCTAACAGGGGTGAGGTGGAATCTTAGTGGTTTTAATTTGCATTTCCTTTATTGCTAGAGATGGTGAGCATTTTTTCATGTGTTTTTGGCCATTTGAATTTCTTCTTTTGAGAAAGTTCTGTTTAGTTCACTTGCCCATTTCTTTATTGGTTCATTAGTTTTGGGAGAATTTAGTTTTTTAAGTTCCCTGTATATTCTGGTTATCAGTCCTTTGTCTGATGTATAGTGGCAAATATTTTCTCCCACTCTGTGGGTGTTCTCTTCAGTTTAGAGACCATTTCTTTTGATGAACAGAAGCTTTTTAGTTTTATGAGGTCCCATTTATCTATGCTATCTCTTAGTTGCTGTGCTGCTGGGGTTTCATTGAGAAAGTTCTTACCTATACCTACTAACTCCAGAGTATTTCCTACTCTTTCTGTATCAACTTAGAGTTTGGGGTCTGATATTAAGATCCTTGATCCATTTTGAGTTAATCTTGGTATAGGGTGATATACATGGATCTAGTTTCAGTTTTTTGCAGACTGCTAACCAGTTTTCCCAGCAGTTTTTGTTGAAGAGGCTGCTATTTCTCCATCGTATATTTTTAGCTCCTTTGTCAAAGATAAGTTGTTATAGTTGTGTGGCTTCATATCTGGTCCTCTATTCTGTTCCACTGGTCTTCATGTCTGTTTTTGTGCCAGTACCATGCTGTTTTTATTGTTATTGCTTTGTAATATAGTTTGAAGTCAGGTATTGTGATACCTCCTGCATTGTTCTTTTGACTGAGTATTGCCTTGGCTATTCGTGGCCTCTTGTGTTTCCATATAAATTTAACAGTAGATTTTTCAATCTCTTTAATGAATGTCATTGGAATTTTGATGGGAATTGCATTAAACATGTAGATTACTTTGGGGAGTATCGACATTTTTACTATGTTGATTCTACCAATCCATGAGCATGGGAGATCTCTCCACTTTCTATAGTCTTCCTCAATCTCTTTCTTCAGAAGTGTATAGTTTTCCTTGTAGAGGTCTTTCACATCCTTTGTTAGGTTTACACCTAGGTATTTGATTTTTTTTTTGAGGCTCTTGTAAATGGAATTGTTTTCATACATTCTTTTTCCATTTGCTCATTGTTAGTGTATAGAAATGCTAATGATTTTTCTATGTTGATTTTATATCCTGCTACCTTGCTATAGCTATTGATGATGTCTAGAAGCTTCTGAGTAGAGTTTTTTGGGTCTTTAAGGTATAGGATCATGTCGTCTGCAAATAGGGATATTTTGACAGTTTCTTTACCTATTTGTATTCCTTTTATTCCTTCTTCTTGCCTAATTGCTCTGGCTAGGAATTCTTTAATTTTTTTTTAATGCTTTAATTTTTTTTTTTTTTAGGTAAAATCACTCTTGTTTTTTATTTTTAAGGACAGACCTTAAATGTAGTTGTCTGTCATTGCCAAGAAAAATTTTCTGGTTTTATTGTTTAAGACTGTTTAGTTTTAAACATATTAAACTGATACTTAATGCAATAAGTTAGTTCTCTTTCTCTCTCTTTTTTTTTTTTGTGGTACTGGGGATCAAACCCAGTGCCTCGTGCATGGTAGACAAACACCCAACCACTGAGCTGTATCCCCAGCCCAATAAATTAGTTCTCTTTGTAGGACTTCATGAAATAAGTTTTACATGCCGGTTAGTGCCACAAGTGCTATGATGAAGTATTTCACATGACCCAAGAGTAAAGAATAGGGTTTTAATGAGGACACACAGCATGAGTAATTTGCAATCAGCATATTCTTAAAGTTGGGGTTTTTTGGTTTGGTTTTGGTTTTCTTTTAGTGGTACTAGAGTTTGAAGTTAGAGTCATGCAAGTACACTACCGCTTGAGCCATGCTTCCAGCTCTAAAGTTTATTTATTTATTTTAATTTTTTTTATTTTTGGTGGTACTGGAGTTTGAACTCAGGGCTTCACGCTTGCTAGGCAGGCACTGTACCACTTGAATCACTCTGCCAGCCCAAAAGTTTATTTTAAAGTCAGCTATTTGGCCCATGGAATGCATTTTTTAATGAAAGTTGTTAAAAATAATTTTTGTACTTCTAGAATGTAGCACAGAAATATTACCTGGGAGTTGTGAGCCTCAGAGTGCAATCAGAATAAAGCAGAGTTTTTCTTCCTCTCTTCCTGGGAAGGAGGCTGACCCTATAGAAATGTCTACACAGTGAAGCTTTGGTGGTGGTGTCTGTCTACCTTTCCATGATGCCTGCTTGACACTTCATATAGCTCACCCACTGAATCCATTCTTTCCTCAAATGCTCTATGCTCCAGGATGAGTAATTTTTTTAGAATGCTGCTTCCCCAGTACAGCAGGTCTCAGCTGAAAGTGAGGAGAAAAATAATCTGCTTGATGTAAAGGAGGTGAAAGTGCTCCTTTTTCCCTAACTCTGAAAGTTGTTTGCTTGTTTATTTAGATGTTTTTAAGAGAATCCTTGGTAATAGGCATAGAATTCGAAGTTTAAAATTTAAAAAGTAAGCTTCAAACGTAGTAATCTTGGGAGACAGGAAAAGATTTGTTCTCTTATACTGGGGATTGAACCCAGGGCAAGTGTTCTACCCCTGAGCTACACGTGTAAGACAGCACCACTAGTGCTCTAGTAAAGTGCTAACAGAATGGGTGCTTTTGTGTGTTCTTATGTTTTCTAGAATTATCTAAAGCAGTAGGTTTAGAGATCTAAACCACTATTAACTCAGGTTGTTCTTAGTACTTCTGCCCTGCTGTCTTCCACAATATCTGCTTTTCTGTAGGAGCAGATTTGTGAGGCTCCTGTCCTGTATTGAACTAAATAATAGAGATTTGCAAAAATGTAAAACTAGCACCACTCTTCACATTAAATTTTGTTTTAGAAAATGTAGTTATTTCTCTTTAAAATACATTACTGGCTTTTCATCTAATGGTTTTACATGAATGAAACTTCAGTTTTAATTTTAAATGCACATTAAAATAATAATAATGATAATGATGAAGCTACTTAGAGCATAAGGATGTCCACAGTGTTTAAGAACTGCTACCTTAAGCCATTTCTCTGTCCCCAGCTTTCCATATGCTCAGGAGTTACCAGGTGCACTGGGGGATTCTTAGTGACTAGATGGTTATTCTAATCAGAATTATCTTTGTATGATTTGAGAACTTTATCTGCCTCACCCCCAAATTTGTCTACTTCTGCCAAAGATTTTTATCAAAAAATTGCGATTTAAGATGTTTATGTCTGGCAAATCTTACATTATGAGGTTTGTTTTTTTTTTTAACCACATAACTTTTAAAAATAAATACTAAAAAATAATGTTTTGTCTGTTGGGCTGGGAGGGTGGTAGAGCACTTGCCTAACATACACAAGACACTGGATTCAATCCCTAGCAGCACCATACACACACACACACACACACACACATACACACACACACAGAATTTGTCTGTGATAGAAAACAGAAGAATATCATTCATTTTATAAATGGTACCTCTATTGATATATTCCTGGCTCAAATTTATCTCTTGGAAAACTTCAAGGGTTATTTTCTCCCCTTGTTCTGTTGAGGTTATGCTTTTGTTAAGATTTTATTTTAAACCTGTTTGAAGTAGCTAAGCCTAAAGTTGAAAAGCAATTATGTACAGTAAAAGCAATAGATAACTTAAAATTCACATTACTTGGACTTTATTTTCTGTCTACTTAGTTTTGATTCTGAGTGGAAATGATGGCTCAAGTACTATGATTACTTAAACATTGAATATCTTTTCTCTATTTTTCTTGTAGTTAAGCAAAACTGGCTCTAAAGATGATGAATAATCCTTGGGATTTGAGACAAGGAAAGCATCTTTAACAAGTAAACTACGTTCAACATCTTTCATTACTATTTTCTGATATTGAGGTGGCTTTTTATAAAATACAAGTTTTTGTATGTTTTTATGTAAAAACATAGAAAGTTCATGAAGAGATCGGGTTGTATTAAATTCTCAAAATTGCCTTAATAAAAGGTGAAAATGTTACTCTTTAGAATACTTTATGGAGCCCGTTGAGCTTTGTAAAAGGACAAAGATGAGCACTAATAGTCAGTATTAATTGGTATGATTTTACCCTGATAGCTGTGGTAATGTTTAAAGGAGTACGAAGCCCTTTTCAAGCTGTCAGTAGAGAATGTTGAGTCTATAGTTATTCTATAGCATATCCATATTAACAGGCTTCTCATCTTAAAGTCTTCATCTCTTCTTTTGCTTAGTTACTGAAGTATGAATTGCTTCAGAGAAATTTAAATTCCCATATTTGAACTTTACATGATAACTCTTTGTAATTCCTTTTTATTTTTTAAAAATGAACTGCTTCCCTTTAATAAATTGATGTCTATTTATTCTTTTCTTGATTTGGGTCAAGGTGTTTGATCATGAGAGCTTTCAATGATATGTGTAATAGGAGAATATAAAAACAAATTTGCCAGATACTTAGGAAAGCATTTTAATAAGTGCAGGCTTTTATTCAAAACATTTCTCTTTGCTGCATATGCCAGGATGGGAATAAAAGATGCCTTAATATTTAATTTTTGTATTGTTGGAGACAGTGATTTTAATAAATACTATTTATCTGCTATTTTGGTAATTTTAGTTGTTGGATAACTGAGATCTTTAAATGGGTTCAAGTTCAACATAAAACCACATTTCGTCCTTATTTTTTTTCGTAGTGTCTTTTCAAGTATCCAAATATATTTTTCAACCTCTGCATCTTTTTAATAATATAGGAGTCTTTCAAATGCTGAACTGCTATATGTGCTTAACTTTTAAAAAATCATTAATAGAAGAAACTACTGGTACAGTTTTATTAGAAAAAGTTATTGATGTTTTTGTGTCATTTACAGTGACTTTGTATATGCTCCCCATCTCTAAGAACACTTAGAATTACTGCTATGTATCTGGACGGTAGATTGTTAGTACATCAAGTTACACATGTGCAGTTTGCGATTGAAGTTTTAAAGAGTGATTAACTTTTAAAGAAATTACCTTGGCATAAAAGCAGTTTGAGATATGTCCATGGTTTTTACAAAGTTAATCCTGCTTCAGTTAAGTTATTTGAATTATAAAGTAAATATAATTATAGTGAAGGAGTTTAATCTCATTTTCAAAAGCTGAATCACATTTTGTTTCTTGAATTCATATTAAAGTTGAGGACCACTAGAATATGCCAACTTTTGTTTTCAAGGTTGTGTGTATGTAATTTTTGTTGTTATGTTATTTGTTTGTTCATATTTTTTGAAGAAACATGTGGTAGTGGAAAAAAATTTGTTTTACTGAAGATTCTGAAACTGGTCAGGTTTATCGTGGTACCTAGATTACAAAGAATAATGCTAGTTAAATGCCAATGAACTATTTTTACTCTTTTTATATGAAATGTACAAATTTCTGGGGGTGATGGTGGCAGTGGTGCCTCTTGTTACCTTAATAAAACACTTGAACATTTTCATCAATATTGCCATCATCTGTTTAATGCTCCCAGTATATTTTCTCAAAGTTTGTTTATTTAAAATTGTGTGGAATGACATAACTAATAAGCAATAAAGTCTGAATTATAGTGACTTTTCTACATGTTTTATTTCAAATCACTTCAAAAAGAATGGTTAATGTTATAAATCCACATATTGTCATGGTGTGAGATGTACTCTCCTTCTGAAAATGTTGGATAAAAAATGTTTTTTGAATGAGCTCAAAAGAAAGTAAGGAATACCTGGAGCTACAATCTGAAAATTAAGGCTAACTTTAGTTTTCACAACTTCAGAAACTGCCTTCCCAGAAGGCAGGAGGCAAATGCAGGGTCAGTACTTGGCAGGGTAGGAAATCACACACAGACATGTATGTGCACACACACACACACACACACACACACACACGAGAGGCAAATGCAGGGTCAGTACTTGGCAGGGTAGGAAATCACACACAGACATGTATGTGCGCACACACACACACACACACACACACACACACACACAGGAGCATCCTTATGGCTGGATCCATCCTCCAATGACGCCCTCGAGGAAGAGTTCCTATCTTGAACTTTGATTCTGATGGTGGAGTAAGATGTATATGTGTGTGTGTAGTCTCGTGGCAGTTGTGCCCAAAAAATACTTCACAATTGAATTTCACCCCAAATTCCTTCCCATATTGGTGATCTAAAAACAAAACAAAACCTTAAGCCAAGGTTTTAGTTTAAAATTGTATCAAATTGGAAGGGTATCTAGGCACCTGGTAAAAACAAACACACATCTGTTCTGGAAAAAAACACTTTCAACCCAAACCCCTAAGTGGTCCCACATACAGAGTTCATGGAATGTGGCTCACACATACACTAGCAAGGCAGCATGAAAGCCTGCCAAGAAAAACTTCAGAGGAATAAGAGCCACAAGGATGTATTGGTATTACTATCATCAAGTAATTTAATGCAATTGAGAAAGGAACAAGAAACTTCAAAATCATCAAGCAGATTAGGAAAAGAACCAAACAAAACTTCTTAAAATAAAAAATACAGTGATTGGAATTAAAGTTACAGATAAAGCAAGTGTTGCCTGCAGTATACTTTGGAAAGTCAGAACAGAAGTGTATAGACAATCCTGCACTTGGGGGTTTTCTTCTAATTGCAGCTTTTGAATCTCAGTCATCCCACCTCAACTTCTTCAGGCTGCACAGTTTTAAATAATAGTAAACTTCAAAGTCATGCTTAGACAGATTGGAGGCTTGGCTCAAGTAGTATAGCACTTGCCTAAAGAGCAGGAGGCTGTGACTTCAAACCCCAGTACTAGGGAAAAAAATCAGGCTATAGCAATAGAGATGGTTCTGCATTTTGTTTTTTTGTTTCGTTTTTGCTTGTTTTCTAACATCGAATATTCCACAGAATAAGAATGATTATCTGGTAAGCTGTGGTTCAGAATTTGAGTGTTTTCAATTATTTGCCAGAATCTGGAGTGCTTTTCAAACTAATTTGTGATTCATTAGTGAGGCAAGTAATTGAGGGTCTTTACTAGCATTCTTTGATGGAATGGAAGAGAATAGAACTGACCAGTGTGCAAGTCCCTGTTATAAGAGTTTATTTCTCCTTATGAAAACTTGCTTGGATGTAGGTGTTTATGTATGGATACTGAGTCATTACGTAAAGTTAATAGTAGTACTGAAATAAGAGTTTGAAAGCCACACTGATCAAAAAAACAAAAGATAGATAACTTTTATTTAAAGTGTTAAATTTTAAAGGCAAAATGTGACCTTCAAGATGCTAAGGATTCTTACCATCAATGCATTTTTTGAAGACCAATTATGTATAGCTCTAGTTGTACAGTATTAGAAGAGAGGCAAATATTTGATTTAAAGTAGGACCTTTACTGATCTTGTAAATTTGTGTAATAATGAAAATTCCTGCATGCTGAGTCTTGTTAATATGAGGAGTTGAAGAGCATTTTAACAGGCAGTGCCTAATCATTTTAATAGCTTTAATTTCTTGCTGATGAGAACCAAAAATAAAAACTTGTTCAATTTTTCCACCATTTCTGCTTGCTGAGTTTCCGGTACAAATCTAGTTTCCAAAATAAACTGTCTTACTAGGCTGATGGTGGTGATCGAATAGACAGGAAACATTCCCACCCCTGCCTGCTTTCCTTTTGTTACTGCTGGCATCTGGGAGGTATGAGGTATCTTGCATGTTTTTCTGCAGTCCTCTGGGGAAATAATATGGCCTTTTCAGACCCCTCCATGAGGATTTGGCCTGTTGAAAAACTGACCTTGATATTGTGAACAGCAAACTGTCTCTGCTCAGTTCTTTCTCCTTTTCATTAATGAAACAGAATGCAACTTGGAAATGGAAGAAACTTGTCCATGGGGAAGGGGAGATGAGATTAAAAACATTTGGCTTCATAATTAGCTGACTAACCTTGGGGCTGGAGGTATAGCTCAGTGAGGCCCTGGGTTCAACCTCTAGCACCAAAAAAAATTAAATTTTCAAAAACAGAAGAAAAAAGTTAACATTGACAGTTTTAGCATTTTAGCAGTTTGTAGAGTACAGAAAGATAAGTAGAGAAAGGTTTCATTGGCGGTGAATGTGTAGTTACAAGAGGCTGCACTTTACTGGATATAAACTGAGGATTTTCTTTTTAAGCTCTTCATCCTTCTGCTTCTACTGCAGGATGAAACCCTGTTAGTTTTTTCAGAGGACAATGGGTATTCTGACTCACTTAGGATCAGTCTCATGGTTAAGCAGCCTGGAAGAGCTCTCCATCTCTCTGAGACATCTTCAGTGGAAGTAAACACTTCCATCCCCATATTCTTTCCACTTGTTTGCTTTGTTTTCTTAAAAATCATACCCTTTCCAATTACTCAATAGAATGATCCTTTTTAAAACATGAAAGGAAAAGAAAAATTGGAACCTTTTCTTCTGTCATGTTTTTCCGAAGATCACTAAATTTACAACTTGTCAGTTTTCCATGTGACTTGGTAAATGCTGGATACACTAAGTATTCCTCACCTTTCAGAGACAGCAAAATTAAATTTTTAATTGATAAAGGGTTGTTAGTTTCTTTAAAATCCCCATGATAACTGAGAAGTCATGGAGTCTGGGTTATAAGAATGTCCATCTGCTAAGGGAAAAGCCTGATTCCCTACATCCTGGCAGTGCCATCTGTTTAATTTGTCTGTGAGTTTTTATGTTTTTCTTTCATATGTAAGTTTAAATTTCCCATTATTTTTGTTAAAGTCACACGCATAGTTTTAGAAGTCAAGTAGTTCCACAAGGCTCTTAACATGAAAGGATTCGCTCTGCCATCCCAGTTCCCACCCAGGCTGGTAATAACTTTAAACTATTTTTGCTTAAACTGAATCCCTGGCCTCTGTTGGCTGCTGTGTCTGTGACTTCTGCTACTACCCTGCCATCCTGCCTCAGAGCCTTTGCTCTGGCTGCTTCCTGCACAGGGCACGCCTCCTACCCCAAAATCACATGGCTACCTCACCACCAGAGTTTTGTTTCCCCACAGTGAGAAAGAGGTGGAAAGCCTGTAGAGGGTTTTGCACAGAGCTGTGAGGTGCTCTGGCTCTTGAACAGTTGATTCTGCCTTTTGTGTTGAGAATAGACTGAAGCAAGAGGTCAGGGAGAGCAGATATGGAGGAAGTGGTGAACAGTGGTGATGGCTTGATGAGGGTAGCAGGTAGAGGGGGTGAGAAGTGGATGGTTTCTTCCTTTAGTATATGTTGAAGGAAATGTGGAAGCATTTGCTAATGGATCAAATGAAGGGTGTGGGAGAAAGACATCAATGTTTTCAACCTCACCAATGGGAAATCAGAAAGTATTAATTCCAGCTAAATTGTCCTATAAGTGTATGGCACCTATAAAAGTGCCATTGGATTTCTTTAAAGAAGGAAAAGCTGATTTCAAAATTCTTTCCCCTTAACCCCTCTGCAGTACAGGAATTTGAACTCAGAGACTCATGTTTCACCTGAGGCCAGCCTTCACCACAATCCTCTTAACCTCCACCTCCCACATAGCTGGGATTACAAGCATGCGCAAACATGCCTGGCCCTCCAAAGTTCTTATGGCAAACCTTACCAGAATAGCTAGAAAAGGTACTAAAAACGAAGGGTAATGAAGTGAGACTACTTCTGCCAGTTAGTGAAGCATATTTCAAGCAACAAGATGTTGACACCTACTCAAAAATAGAATAGAAACCAGAAATAAACCTAAATGTATGTGGGGACTTACCAGACATCTCTGTAGAAAACATGTCTTAAATAAGTGGATAGCCATTGGAAAAGGCTAAAGGAAAGAAGGAAAAGTACTTTCTCATACTCAATATCATAGTAACTTCCGCAGAGATGAAAAATATTTTTTAAGAAAATGTTGGAGGATTTTGGGGGAGAGGGAGGGATCTCACTGGTGTAGCTCAGTTTGGCCTCAAACTTGTGATCTTCCTGCCTCAGCATCAAGAGTGCTGGGATTACAGGTAGGATTCAGATGTATAGTCTCAGGATGACACAAAACTGAAGCCATAAAATAAAATGCTAACTTTGATGCCATTTTTAGAAAATTTAAAAAATTGTGTGTGAGAAAAAATTCACATAAACAACACAGAAAAAGTACTTTTAATATATCTATTTATATATGTAAAGCTCTTAGAAATTTAGAAAAAAAGACAATAGAAAGTGGACAAAGAATGTAACAATTTCATAGAAGGGAATATAAATAATAGATAAGAAGATACTTATCTTCTTATGCATTGAGATTTCATTTTTCTCCTATGATATTAGCAAAGACTAAATACTTTGGTGACATTATTTTTGAAAGTATGAGGAAATAGGTCCTCCCCTACAAAGTTGTGGCACTGGGGTTTGAATTCAGGGCCTCACACTTGCTAGGCACACACTGTACCACTTGAGCCACTCCATCAGCCCTTTTTGGTGTTTAGTATTTTTTGAAATAGTGTCTCTTGAATTATTTGCCCAGCCTGGCCTCGAACCTCCATCCTCTTGATTTCTGCCTCCTGAGTAGATAGGATTACAGGTGTAACCTACCAACACCTGGCTTGATGCAAACTTTATGAAG